TCACCCAGAAACTCTTCTTGCACATACTTTTCACCCATATACTTTTCACCCAGAGACTCTTCACCCAGAAACTCTTCTTGCACATACTTTTCACCCATATACTTTTCACCCAGAGACTCTTCACCCAGAAACTCTTCTTGCACATACTTTTCACCCATATACTTTTCATAGACTCTTCACCCAGAAACTCTTCTTGCACATACTTTTCACCCATATACTTTTCACCCAGAGACTCTTCTTGCACATACTTTTCACCCATATACTTTTCACCCAGAGACTCTTCACCCAGAAACTCTTCTTGCACATACTTTTCACCAATATACTTTTCACCCAGAGACTCTTCACCTAGAAACTTTTCTTGCACATATTTTTCACCCATATACTTTCACCCAAAGACTCTTCTTGCACCTACTTTTCACCCATATACTTTTCACCCAGAGACTCTTCACCCAGAAACTCTTCTTGCACATACTTTTCACCCATATACTTTTCACATCTTTTCACCCAGAGACTCTTCACCCAGAAACTCTTCTTGCACAGACTTTTCACCCAGAGACTCTTCACCCAGAAACTCTTCTTGCTCAAACTTTTCACCCATATACTTTTCACCTAGAGACTCTTCACCCAGAAACTCTTCTTGCACATATAATGGTCCCACATCGAGCCTTCACCCAGAAACTCTTTACTTTTTCACCCATATACTTTTCACCCAGAGACTCTTCACCCAGAAACTCTTCTTGCACATACTTTTCACCCAGAGACTCTTCACCCAGAAACTCTTCTTGCACATACTTTTCACCCATATACTTTTCACCCAGAGACTCTTTCACATACCACCAATATACTTTTCACCCAGAGACTCTTCACCTAGAAACTTTTCTTGCACAGATTTTTCACCCATATACTTTCACCCAGAAACTCTTCTTGCACATACTTTTCACCCATATACTTTTCACATCCCCTACTAGATTAAGTGGGGGGGTTGGGTGCCCCCATTTTATAGTACTAAAACGGGGGCACCCATCCCCCCCGGAGTGGGACCTCTATAAAATGGAAACACCCAAGGTCACAAAACAGGGGCACCTCTATAAAATAAGAAAATTATTTGAAAAAGCAAATGTTTACAGCTACAAATTTACTGCAAAACCCTCCATCACTATAAAATGGGAGGCCCCAACGTACCCTGGAGCCTAGCCTTAAAATGAAGGAACTAGCCAACTTTCTACTATAGAATAGGAACCCCCAACCCCCTGTATCTTACAACATCCAAAAATGAATGGTTTCTTGAGGGGTTGGGTGCTCTGATTTTATAGAGATTACATGCCCTTCCTGGTAGGATTTTCTGGGGGTTGGGGGTTTCCATTTTATAGTGCCGCGGCCTTCCCACATCCTCCCACCATCATCGCCCCAAAGACACCACATTTATCTTTAGCCCGGGACGTCCCAAAGCCAAGGGATGCTGACACAAAGACCAAGACTTATTTTCTGGTAGTTTTCCATTGGTCCCATGCTGTCCCATGTCCCAAAAGCCAAGGGATGTCGACAAAAAGACTGGTATCGACGGAGCTGGGCATTTTGGGGCAGCTGGGTATTTCTTTGGGTGGGATGGAGATAGTTTTCCTTTTATAGTGGTCCCATGCTGTCCTATGTCCCAAAAGCCAAGGGATGTCGACAAAAAGACTCCAAGCTGGGTATTTTGTTGTGTCGACAGAGCTGGGTATTTTTGGGGCAGCTGGGTATTTTAGGGTAGGATGAAAAAAAAAAAACATTTTATAGTGGTCCCATGCTGTCCCATGTCCCAAAAGCCAAGGGATGTCGACAAAAAGACTCCAAGCTGGGTATTTTGTTGTGTCGACAGAGCTGGGTATTTTTGGGGTTTTTCACCCATATACTTTGCACCTAGAGACTCTTCACCCAGAAACTCTTCTTGCACATATAATGGTCCCACATCGGAGCCTCAATTTTTCCATTGTGTTTCCATCCCATCAATTTCCGTCATTTTACTCTTATTTTACTTGGCATCATTTTGGTCCCACATCAGAGCCGCAATTTTTCCAATATGTTTTCCATTGTTTTTCTCCACTTCTTCATCATAGTCCCTCGATTTTTCCATTGCTTTTCCATCGCTAATGGTCTCACATCGAAGCCACATTTTTTTCATTTTTTCCATTGCTTTTCCATAGTTTTACTCGACATCATTTTCCCCTCCATTCCAGTCTCCCCAGTGTTTTTTTCACAGTTTTTCCTCCAGTTTTACTCAATCGTCCCATATTTTACGCTATCAATTTATCCTTCCATTTCATCAATTTTTCCAGTGTTTTGCCATGGTGTTACTCGATTTCTCCATCATTACCCTTCTATTATCTCAGTGTGTCTAACGCTTACCCAAATGCACCTTCCACAATCCCTACAGTTGCACCGTATAAACGGTTTTGCTCGTTTTTTCCATGGTTTTTTTTTCTGTGCTTCTACTCCATAGTGGTCACACATCGAAACTGCAATTTTTCCATTGCGTTTCCATTGTTTCACGCGTGCTTTACGCGATAGTGGTCCCACATCGGAGCCTCAATTTTACTTGGCATCATTTTACCCTCTCCCTATTCTTTCCACCGTTTCGCCTCGCGTTTTAATCAATTGTCCAAGCGTTCTACTCAAATTTTCCATTGCTTTCCCATTTTGTTTCCATTGTTTTATGTCAAAGTCCCTCCTTTTTTCCATTGTTTTTCTCATCATTTTCCCCTCCTTTCCCATGTTTTTCCCATTGTTTTATGTCATATTCCCTGATTTTTTCTATTGTTTTTCTCATCATTTTCCTCTCCATTGCAATCTGCCCAGATCCACCTCGGAGGGCGGACCAGGGGGGAATCGATACCCCAACGTCACCCAATTGCCACCTGGTACATAACCCTAACTGTGGCCACCTTTTTTACCACCTAATTTCCTCATTTTTGTCCCTCTCGGGGCGCTCTGCCCCCAGACCCCCTTAACTCACTTTGTTCGCAAGAATAACTTCGCCTAGCCTAGCGGCTGGCTTTCGTGATCAATTTCTCCTTCCATTTCAGCGATGTTTCCAGTGTTTTGCCACAGTGTTGCTCGATTTCTCCATTTCATCATTTTTTTCAGTGTTTTGCCATGGTGTTACTCGATTTCTCCATCATACCCTTATGTTACCCCAGTGCGTCGAACCTTCCACAATCCCTACAGTTGCACCGCATAAACGGTTTTGCTCGTTTCTTCCATGGTTTTTTCTTTCCGTGCGTCTACTCCATAGTGGTCATACATCAAAACGGCCATTTTTCCATTGCTTTTCCAATGTTTCACGCGTGCTTTACGTGACTTGGCATCATTTTACCCTCTCCTCAGTGTTTCCACCGTTGTAATCAATTTTCCAAGCGTTCTACTCAAATTTGCCATTGCTTTCCCATTCTTTTCCCATTGTTTTACGTCATATTCCCTCATTTGTTCATTGTTTATCCCAAATTTCAGACATATGGCATGAAGATTGCATTGCTTACAAAATTGTGGCAAAAACTGAACTTCTGCACATCACATGTGTGTCATCTCCTCTTGGATACCACAACAAACTAGAAGAATGAGATTTATAATAGATGGTCAAGAATATGATTTCTCAGTATTTGAAGTTAGGTCAATCGGCGAGGCAGCAAAGGACCATAAGAATGCACTAAATCTTCAGCGAATAAGGTATGCTGTCCATCTTGCTAAAAAGTACCATCATGGAACTTCTGCACATCACATGGTGTAAATCAAAACGGCCATTTTTCCATTGCTTTTCCAATGTTTCACGCGTGCTTTACGTGACTTGGCATCATTTTACCCTCTCCTCATCGTTTCCACCGTTGGAAGCAATTTTCCAAGCGTTCTACTCAAATTTGCCATTGCTTTCCCATTCTTTTCCCATTGTTTTACGTCATATTCCCTCATTTGTTCATTGTTTATCCCAAATTTCAGACATATGGCATTGTTTATCCCAAAATTTGGGCAAAAACTGAACTTCTGCACATCACATGTGTGTCATCTCCTCATATCGAAACTGCAATTTTTCCATTGCTTTTCCATTACGCGATAATGGTCCCACATCGGAGCCTCAATTTTACTTGGCATCATTTTACCCTCTCCCTATTCTTTCCACCGTTTTTCCTCGCGTATCAATTAGCGTTCTACTCAAATTTTCCCTTGCTTTCCTATTTTTTCCATTGTTTTATATCATAGTCTCTCATTTTTTCCATTGTTTTTCTCATCATTTTCCCATCCTTTCCCATTTTTTTCCCATTGTTTTATGTCATATTCCCTCATTTTTTCCATTGTTTTTCTCATCATTTTCCCCTCCATTGCAATCTCCCCAAGTCCACCTCGGAGGGCGGACCAGGGGGGAATCGATACCCCACCGTCACCCAATTGCCACCTGGTACATAACCCTAAAAAACTTTACCTGTGGCCACCTTTTTTACCACCTATTTTCCCGATTTTTGGCCAGTTAGGACCGCTCTGCCCCCAGACCCCCTTAACTCACTTTGTTCGCAAAAAGAACTTCGCCTAGCCTAGCGGCTGGCTTTCGTGAAAACATAAATCATCATAAATCATCATAAATCATCATAAATCATCATAAATCATCATAAATCATCATCATCATCATCATCATCATCATCATGGATGTTCAATAGTTCTATTAATATAATAGTTATGCAAACCATGGATTTTCAACATCAAAAATAATGTCAACCCTGGATTAATAAACCCCGCAGTTCGGCAGTTTCATTGGGAAAATACCATTTAAAAAACATTAATTGTGGATTTTCAATAATAAAAACCATGGGTTTTTTCACTATTAGATCACTTTCAACATCAAAAAAAACATTTACGGCAGTTTCATTGGGGGGATACCATTTAAACATATTTAAACATTGATTGTGACTATTAGAAGAGAACCCAGGGAACCCAGGGAACCCCCTACCATTGAAACACACATGACCCCCGCAGGCCTAGGCAAAGAATTCTTTGAGGTCGTGTAAACACCTGCGAGGCCGAATCTTTGGAGCGACTTGAAGATCACTGATGATTCACTCATATATCATATAATATATATATATATATATATCATATATATATATAATATATATCATATATATATAATATATATCATACATAATATATATATATATTATATAATATAATATACTATATATTATAGTCCAATAGCACTATCACCTGCAAATCCTACAACTTGACAAGGACTGGAGTGATGCCATGACATGCCATGCACAGTCCAAGTTAATTCGTCAAGTGAATGCCATGTTTTTTTTTGTCGGGTTCCACATGGTGAAAGTTGCCGCCTCGTGATAAAAGATTGGAGAAAGCAGCGCGTGATCGCGTCTCAAGACCCTCCAAAAGGTCACTGCCTCACAAGATCAGATGGCACGTTGTTCACAGACACCATGACTATGGCAACAAACGATGCCCTCTGGTAATTTGTTACATAGCTATTGAAAATGGCCATTTATAGTGGATTTACCCATTAAAAATGGGGATTTTCCATAGTTATGTTAGTTTACCAGAGGGTAGCATGACACATGGCACGTTGCATGTTGCATCACTCTCTGGGCAGCTGCCCAATCGTGAAAGCTGCGAAAACTGGAATGAAAACAGCACGAACATCGTTGAACCACTGCATTTTTGAGCCACGCACCAAGAAGAGATTCTTGTGGTCCGAGTAGTTGTATGCAATGGGATCCTCACATGCAAAATGTGCTTTTGAGCAGTGAGAACAGTGTGGATTCGATCTGAATTTTTTTAAAGCACATCTTGTGGCAGGACATGTCTGACTCAAATGGTTTACCATCTGGTTATTTAACATAGCCATGGAAAAAGCCACCATTTTTAAATCATGAAAAATCCACCATTTTTAATAGGTAAACCATCTATAAATGGACCATTTTCCATGGAAATATCATAATATGACAGAAAAATCCAGAAATTTCTCCGAGTCTCCAGGACGGTCAAAGGAGTGTTGATGCCATCCCCTGCCAGGTGGTATGGCGCTGCCTTGTCCTGAGCGATGATTTTTTGGACTCTCAACTGGACATGCACAAAGCATCACAAAGCACTCATTTTCTACTAATGCGAAGCCAGGTGAAGTATGAATAAGCCATAAATTCTGTTTAGTCACTGTTTAGTCACTGTTTAGTCTTGGATTTTTTGTCAAAAAAATCATGTCACTTTTTGGTTCAACTTTTGATGATCACCTCGGGACGTCGGGTACGTCGGGTTGGTCCTTTCCCGATTTCAGCTGTTCTCGCATGAGCTCGTCTTGGATGTATCCCCACCTGGGCAGGGACAAGTCGTTTGGTGAAACAACGACGAAAAGTGAAGACAGACTGAATAAATGGGCTCTGAAAATCTGAAAATCATCATGTTCCATCATAAGTTCCATCATCCCATTAAAATCGCTGGGAGCTATGCCCTATTCTCACACACCATATCTTCATCCCCAACAAAGATCTGCGCCCTGTGCCAAGTCGTGCTAAGTATCAGGCAATGCACAGAACGTCCCCAGAATCAGAACGAAACCAAGAATCGCCATTTGGGAATAGTTCGTTCCCACATCTATCACCTGGGCCACAATTACATCGAGGCATCAGCACAAATTTCTACCTCTCACGTCAGCTCTCCCCAAAAATTCCTTGTCTTGTTCGAAAACTCTCGGCCTCATCAATGTAGTAGCTCACGGCTCTATCCACCTGGATGACTGGATGCCGTGTCACCCGGAGCGTTTCAAAGTGCCGAGTTGAAACAGAAGGGCACTGTGCCGAGACATTAGGATTGGGATGGATTGGGATGGATTCGGAAGCTGTTTTACTTCCCGGTCTGATGTTTCTTCAGTGAATATCAGTGCAGATGGAGACTCCCTTGAGACTCCCTTGTCGCTCGCACCTCGAGCACATTCACAGGTCGTCCATCGATGAACAGGCCAATGTCGGAGAGGTGGGTGGTGAGGCAACCATCACCGTTGTTCAGCAAGCCCTGTCAGCAACGCACTGCAGTCTGGACTCCCATGTTAGCACGGAGATTTCGGTAGATAAAGATCCTAAGAAAACGATCATGGTACAAGCATAATTTGCAACAATTACAACGAAAGTAGATGAAAGTCGTATAATGTATAAGATTGTATAAGTATTCCAAAATATCAAAATATTCCAAAGTGAATGTGAGGGTTTTTTCAAAGGGACGGCAGGGTTCCCTGTTCTCCAGCTCCAGCGTCTCCCCGGCTCGGCACCACTCGGCACCTGGGGAGACCAAGCACCTCCCGCAGTGTCAGGGGCGAAGCGATCCCAGTACATGCAAAGATGCGTGGAGTAGAGCGTCCTTAGCAACCCACCGTCCGACGTCAAAAAAGTGATCCAACAGAGCACAGCAAGTTTAAGATATATCAAGATATATCAATATATCAAGATATATCAAGATATATCAAGATATATCAAGATATACAAATGAAAATAGAAATGAAAAGGAATTGCATCCGAAACCTGAAACATCGAAAAAGAATTCAAACAGCATGAAATATCACATGTGTCGCTTCGATCTGCTTCAATCCTTGCAGTGACATTCGGCCCATTCGGCCCTGGCCATTCCACGTGTGCACTGTGCCGTGCCGTGCCGTGCCGTGTGCTGTGCCTCAGGTCCTGGCTGATCGGCAAAGACTTTGATGGGGAACTCCTCACGGCTCACCTGCAACGCCAAAAAACATCCCGAGACGCAAAGAAACAGAAAGAAACAAACAGCTTTTAAAAAAAATGAAATATGACCTGATTATGTCACATAATTCTGACTTACAAATACTGATGATTGAGTCGTGGGCCGAATAGAATTGGAATGGACATTCTTGGAGAACTTAACATGAAATTCAGTTGGAGCCTCGATCTCAATGGTGCTCGCTTTCATAACCTGCCACAATGCTCCATTTTCATCCAGCTGAGTTCAGCTGAGTCCAGGGAGCAACATGGAGCAACAAGAGAAATGGTGACATTGTCATCATTCAGATTTGTCAGTTACTTGTCAGTGACATTCAGTTGCAGTGTCAATTTTGTTTCGATATCTCAGATATGGCTATGGGTCAATACCTATTAATACCATTTTTAGTGGGATGAACATCCATTTACCAGCTATTTTGGGGTTCACATGGGTTCACTAGGTACCAGGGTTTTGACCCATCCCCATATCTATAGATATCTATAGATATCTCAGATCTTGTGCACCATTCACTCCAGCATTACCGCCCTAGACTTCACCATCGGCGATGGTAACCACCTCAGCACCTCCGTGGCGACCCCGTCCCGGATACTCAAATGAAGAGTTCTTGACCCACACAAATCACAGGAAAAATCTCCAAAATTGGGCATCAAACTATATCAAACTCATCAAACATCTCCCAGATTTCCTCAAATCTTCAAACAGGCCGGCAGTCACAATCAAAGTGATGATGCGCGTCTGATTGCCTCACAGGCAACCACAATGGCAATCCACATCCTCCCAGCATGTCCCAGCGTCCCAGGTGGATCCGTGCGCCTGGTGGAGCCGAGTCGGACCAGCCGTAGATGTTCTTCGTGTACTCCACGAAGATGAAGGAAAAGGCCGTCACATTGCTACCTTCAGAAATCACGGAGAAATATGAGAAACGACACAAATTTCGACCCGGGAAGTTCCGATACCAAAGGGCACTTGAGCACTTGATTGGCGCCAAACGGTTTCTCCAAACTCAAAACTTGTTGCCATGGCTGCCATGGCGTCCTCCCACAGATCCAACAGGCGATTCGAAGCCTGGCGAAGGTGTATTCCCTGCTGTTGCCGGCCTCAGAGAATCTTAAGCGATTTCCCATGATTTCCCCCGCGACGATCTCTCGATCTCTCGCCAAGCAACACAGCGAACTTGGGTGGGAAAATGAAGACGCTGCTTACCTCACATGGTTTGCAGCACTTGCAGCACTTGCAGCTTGCATAAGGGACCTACGGAGTCACCAACCTAGACACATCTGAAACATCAGAATATGAAATATATGAAGTGAATATGATGAATATGTTCGAAACGGAAGAATGTGCGTAGTACGATCACGTCAGATATGTTTTCCTTTTTTTTCTTTACAAGTTGGAAAGGGCATTCCAGTTGATTCCAGCCTGGCTCATGTTCCGCGTGCGACCGATGTAGAGGACGAAGCCAGGTGTGACGAAGCGCATGGGAGGTGCCTGGCAAAATGTCGTCATCAGCGAAAAAAAAGACACCAGTGGTTTTTCCACATCACAGAGACACAACGAATCGCAGAAACAGATCAGGGAGGTCTTTTTATGTCTTTTTGATTGTTTTTCGGCTAGTGTTATAGATGTTATAGACGCGTCCTCGGCACATCTGCCAGGCTCATCTGCCAGTCCGTCAATCTGCTCGTAATCTGCTCATTTCTCTCCATCCCATGGTCCCATGGCAGCCGGGGCGACTCCAGTGGTGAGCTGAACGATCACCTGCTTGCAGATTGTGTCACGCCTCACAGTCCCAGCAGTCTCGAAGCATCGCTGCGTAGGACGGTGAACATCAGTTGATTGACCTAGTAATCATCCATTAATCATCCCATTAATCATCCATTAACCATCATCAAACATCATCAAACGTCAGATGAAAAGTTTAAGGGCTTCCCCACAGCACTGCTGCTCGAGTGATGAGCTGCGATGTTTCCCTTGGCTCATCGCGTGTTGCAGTTGAAAACTTGACCCGATGACCTCTAAAAACCGCCGTGGTCCCTGCCCAACTTTTCAAGGAAGAGCCAAGACAACCACAAAACGACAAAGAATTGCAAAGGATGTTCTGAAACGAAAACGGAGGACCCACGATTCCGAAAAACCTGACAGCAGGAACTGACAGCAGCACCAAGGAAACAATCCAAAATGGATCCGTGGAGTGTGGATGGACAATAAGAAACAATAAGATACAATAAGTCTATAAGATAATGATTGACATATGTAACATAAATTAACATGTCATATATTTCATGCAACCTTAAATGTGAACAACAAAAAGACAGCCGTCTCCATTGGGTGCAGCTGTGGCATTCCCTGGGCATTCTGGGCTCAGGAACCGTTCTGCTTCTTTTTTGGTACGGGCTGCATCTTCCTGGACTCGAAAGCGTCAAAATCCACATCTCAATCGCCACCATTCGCCCATGTTTTGGCGAAAATCTCATGCTATCCATATCTACTCCATATCTATCAAGTGATCAAAATATCGAGATATGTGATGATATGTGATGATATATGATGATATATGATGATGTATGATGATATATGGAGTATTATGCAGAGATGGCAGTCATGGGACATTGTTGACGTGTCACTGCTGTGACTTTCTCGCCTCCGCTTGTATCGCTTCAGCTTGTTTGACGGCGCGCTCGAAGGGCGCCATCATGGCATATGAGGCCTGCCATGACTCGCTACTCGGCGACTCGGCACTTCTCGATCAGATTCGATCAGTATCATTTCTCATCATTTCTCATCATTTCTCATCATGTCTCATCATGTTCTCATCATTTCTCATCATTTTCTCATCGATATTTTGCCGAGGAAAAAAATCACCCAAATCCACAGAGTATCTCGATGAGTCTCTCGTCCTCGGTGAGAAAAGGGGCTGCCGCGTCGAAACTGCCGCGCAACTTTTTCTCGGAGCTCCATTGGCTCCAACTTCTGCGAATCACAGAATCGAATCCACACCACAGGATTCTATGAGAGCTCCATGTTCACATATAATATAGTGTATATATATATACAGAATATATATCAGGTGTTTTCCGCATTTTTCATATTCAAAGTTGGCACCTGGTTGGCACCTCAGCTTTTCTTCGCAGCAAGGCGCCGTGCCTCCTCAGAACTCATCAGGCCAGTTGGCCTGCGACACGAGTTTTGCGGTGTCTTGATGTCTTGATGGCGGCTGTGTCGCAGACATTTTGTCGAAAAAACAGTTGGATGATCTTTGATTCATAGTAGTCTGATAGTAGTCTGCGATTATCATATATCCAAGATCTTTGATATCCATTTGGATGATATTCTTTATGGATCTGACAGTAGTCTGATAGTGATATTTCCACACTTAAACGGAGCCGTTCTGATGACCAAGATTTGGCCGCCTTTAGCACCTTGAAGCCTCGGAGAGTTCCTCAAAAGGGCCCTGTTTCGACTGTTCGACAAGGTTTTTCAACATGTTGAAACATCACAACAGAAGCGTCAAAAGAATTGAAGAATGCTGAGGTCTAGTGATTTATAATGATTTATACTTTGATTATTTGAATTTATTTGAGGTTTACTGGACAACAACTCAGCTGATGCTACCTTTCGTGGTCACGAAGCGAAACACATTCTGTGCACATTCTGACTGACAACATGAAATCACATCAAAATCACATTAAAAAATATCCATAAAGTGTATTAAATCATATAAAATCATATTATAAATCCACATAATTCATTCATAAATCCACCCATTTTACCATGAAAAAAAGCCATGATTTCGTGTTTCCGCCTGAAACGCTTCCTCTCCGCCTCCAGCGACGTCTCTGTTGCCCTCTTGGCCCGGCCCTTGGCCGTGTCCAGCACGTCGGACCAAAACAAAGCGCTGGGCGGCCGGGAGTCGCCGACAAAGTCCTGCGTCGCGTTGCGGCGCAACGTGACGTGACGTGACGTGACGTGGAGGTCCTGGTCCAGTCCTTTTTTTGAAGGTGAACTCACCACCCCAGTGATGCTGATGATGCTGATGATTTTTTCATGGGATAACTGATGGATAAGTGGATTGTCAACAATCAATGGTGTTTTTTAGTGGATTATGGATATTATGGTCAATGTTGATGATACATGATGATACATGATGATACTGTGATGGTCGGATGTTGTCGGATGTTTTTTGTCGGATTTTGGTCCAGTGGTCCTTTGTCGGTCTGTGGCATGTAGATCATGGATCATGGTTTACCATGGTTTACCATGGTTTCATGATGTTTCATGCCACTTCTAAATCTTCTAAGAGCAACTTTTAAGGTTACCCTCTGGTGAACTAACATAGCAATTGAAAATGGCCATCGAAATAGTGGATTTTCCCATTAAAAATGGTGGATCTTTCCATTGCTATGTTAGTTCACCAGAGGGTAACATCCCAAAAAAAAACGAAAAAAAAAAAGTTGCCACCTCTGCCATGGCTGTGGCGCCCGCAGCTTCTGCAGCTGCCAAAAGCGCATCCATGTCATCAGCTGGGACCTTTTGGACCTGTCGTACCAAACGTTTGATGCAGATTTCATGGAAATTAGATGAAAAAGTGATGGAAAAACATGAGAAAATGATAGAAAATGCTTGGTTTCGAAAGTTGAAGCGGCAGTTGATGTCAACAAAGTAAGAACCGTTGTCTGAGTTCTAAACATCTTCTGGCTCTTGGACGTCCTCCTGGACTTCCTGCCAGGAGATTGTTCCTGAAAAGTGGTACCACATCTTACCACGTCTTACATCGTGATTCTGATACGATGTAAACGACATGCTTCAATACCAAATTCATATGTAATTGTTTCTAATGTATAAATAAGTATTAAATCAATAAGATTTTAATAAGTATTACAGTAGTCTTAGTTGGCACAAAGCGTGTGACAGTCCTCGAAGTGCAGCGTTCTCACGTAGTCCGCAGGGACATCGGACTGACTTCCGTCTTCCCAAGTGATGGAAAGCTGACCATCCGGGTGAATCGCCTGATGGCAATTGTGATTCCATCACTGCGACCTATGACTCATATGAAATTCATATGACTCATATGACCTACCTGAAATATGTTCGGAACACTCTGATCTGAGACAGTCTGAGACCGTCTGAGACAGTCTGAGACTTCTTGCCATGCACATTTCCCATATTTTCCCATTTCCATTTCTGTACCATTCATCGACGTTCACTGGCGCCTGGATCTCTGCCGGAAGCCATTGATCGTCGTCGGGCCAATAGGCCTTTCACACGTCACAACCACAGAAAACTGAGGAAAAATCATAAGACAAGAGAAATCACATCAAAGACCCGAACATCATGAAAACTGACATCAAGACACGATGTTTTCGCGGCATGAAAATCAGGACATCTGGCAAAATGCTGCTTGAAAGCCATCAAAAGATCTCAAGAGATATCAAACACATGGACATAAATCATCTTCATGTTCGACATGTAGAAAAAGCATTGAATCGTGCTTTCTTTGAGAACGGAGAGGAAGCCTCCAACGGGCATGGCATCATGGCATCATGGCATCATGGCATCATGGCATGGAGTTCGGAGTTCCCTGTGCGCCTCCACTGCATCGCCTACAGCCACCTCGTCCGTCATGGCGATGCGATGCGATGCCACGATGCCACGAAGCCACGAAGCTTGGTGGTCCAGGTTTTGAGGATGGAAATGACGGAAATGATGGAAATCCAATGGCTGCACTGATATCATCTGATATCATCTGATATCATTCGTGGCAAAACCTTCTTTCGGATTCATTGGTGTTGGTCCTTTGTAAAGGAATGTCTCGCCTCATACATCTCATACATCTCATACATCTCGTACTTGTCATACTTGTCATAGTTGTCAAACTTGTCATACTTGTCATACTTGTCATACTTGTCATACTTGTCATACTTGTCATATGTGGTGTCGTTACGCCAGTTTACATGCGGAATTTGTGACGTCGCTGTCTTGGGCTGTTTTGGGCTTGGCGTCGGAAAAAATCACAGAGCTGAGCAAAAGCTTCCAGTGACCACAGGCATCGTGCCCACACGGTAGCCACACGGTAGCCACCATCATTACCATGACATTCCAATGATTACCATGCTAGGATTGGTAACATCAAGTCGTTGCTTCCAATGGTGACATGGAGATACATAGCCGTAGCACCTGGAGTTGCGCTGCTGCTCGCAATCTGGTTTCTGCTTCAATGTTTTGTCGCCTCAAGTCCCAACATGTCCCAACATGTCCCAACATTCCGCCCAAGGCGACAGAAACAGAGTCTGGGATGTTTGGGATGTTTGGCGAAGATCAGAATATCAGAGAAGTCATTTGGGATTTGCAAGACAATTCAATCCACAATGACAAGTGAGTTTTCATATGTTTTCATAGTCTGGCAGTGGCAGCGCTGAGTTTCCAATCCTGACCAAATCCCTGTCGAAGGGTCTATGCTAAGCACAGGGGAGGTTGAAATCTGAGAATCTTGAAGGATTTGATGGGAATTGATGGGATCGCGACAAGGCACTCGATGGCCCGACGCACACCGTCCAGCAAAGGCAACTCCGACTGCAAACCGATTGTCGAATGGCGAAATGCTGCAGGTTGCTGCATGTTGCTGTGCCTAATTCTGGATAATGGTCATTCGTTTCCCCATGGGTAACAGTTGGGTAACATTTGTTTTTGCACTTTGGCACTTTCTTCGACAGGGCCTCCTCCAAGCTTAAGACCAAAGCTCCCGCACCCTGAGCGACACGAGATAAAACGACACGACAGATACCCTCTGGTAAACTAACATAGCTATTGAAAATGGCCATTTATAGTGGATTTACCCATTAAAAATGGTGATTTTCCATAGCTATGTTAAATTACCAGAGGGTGCTTTCCTCGATCTGGTGACGTCTGAGTTCTGAGCCGACAGAGCGACTGGTGGCGCTACAGTGGTGGCCTGACATCGATTCAGCGATTCGTGGCGCGACTTCAACGACTTTCTGAGTGCTAGCAGTGCTAGCCCAATTGATTGACTACAATGACTACAATGACTACAATATCTACAACTCTACCAATTATGTCGGTGCACAAGTGCTACAGCAGCGGCTTCATTCGAATTTAGAAGCAAAGCGCAGCAAAGCTCAATACTTCGTCACGCTGCGTGACACTTTTGCAGCCTATGGTTTGACCGTTTGACCGTTTGACCCCTAGGTCAAGCTCCCAACCTGCAATTTCCGCCACCTTGGAAGGCCATGTTTCGATGTCCATTTGCCCAAATCAGTCAGCATTGCATCAAACTCCCATGCTTCGCACATCACAATGTGTCCGAGGCATTTTCACAGTTTGCAACTTCTTGGTTCGCTGTTTGATCTGCCAGATACTCAAATGTGTTTCAGTTGCAATCAGGAGCTTTCAAGGCTTTGGCGTCTCATTGTCCCCAAACAGCCTTGCCACATGACGCAAAGGCATGGTTTCAAGATGTCTCAAGACATGTTGCAAAGAGAAAGCGAAGGAAATTTCTGGTCACCAACCTGTAGCAACTCTACACATCTTTCATCATCTTTCATGTATATTATCATATATATCCACAATGATGATATCATCTTTCTATATTATATACGATTGGATTGTCATCTTTCTGGTCACCAACCTGATAGGTATAATCTTATATTCATATATATATATGGTATATTGGGATAATATCTATATATCTATATATACACAGTATATGGTATATCTATATGGTATATTTATATGGTAGATGTGTAGCAGCCTCCGTGATGCCGACAGCGCCGATCCACTGGAGTCAGTGGCTGTAGCGGCTACGGCAGGTGTGCTGGCCATTGGGCACCTGCAACGGTGGAGACCGGTGGAGGCCATGCCGTAGCTAGGTTACTATATGTTACTATATACCAGTATCATCCAGTATCTATAATGGTTACTATCAAAAATTTGATACCAGATTATAGCAGTATCTACAATAGTTATCTATCTATTTAAAAAAAAAAAATGATATTACCAGATATAGTTACAAATGTTGCACCACTTTAAGTGACATGTTCCGCCCTTCTCGGATTTTCGTACATCGTACTACCGTACACATCCGTACACTGGATATCTGTTACAAGCCCCAGCCTGGGTCCATGGAACCAACACGGCGGATTTTCACACTGCGTCTTGGGATTTGGCCTGCCACGGTGCCCCACGGATGCGTCTTGGGTCCACAGAATCCCAATCAATTTCTTCGCCACAGAATCTGCCGAAGGGAACTTCTGTTGGCGAGATGAAAGTATGATTAATACAGCGAATGACACCCATATTCATATGATATTATATACATATAATGTACAATAATTATATATGTATATAATTATACAATTAAAGAATCTACTTTTATATATATATACAGTTTTCTATACATATACATACACATTCATTTATCCACCACAAACCAGTTTAATCATCGACGCAAAGCCTGCAGGCTTACCATGTTAACACATGTGAACCGAGCCGTGGCACCCTGGATCGCGAACCAACCGGATGTCAATTCACATTGTGAACGGACACAACTTGACACAACTTGACGCAAGCCACAGAAACACAAAAACCGCACCGCAATCGCCGCAGTCTCTATCAGTCTCTATCCGTCTCTATCCGTCTCTATCCGTCTCTCGTCGTTGCTGCCGAGCAACCAGTCGCAGCACATAAATTTCAAGCTATCTTTGCCATGACGGTGGATGCCTGGGCGACATCGTACGGCAAAGGGTTGTGGTTTTTAAGCGCGTTTTTCCTTTAACATATCTAGCAGCTTGCAATGGCAAAAAAACCCAAGACTTGCTGCAAACATTTCCATTCTAAAGTGGTCACATGGTCTCTTGCCAAGTCACACATGAGCCAAATCATGTCGCAGTAGGCGCTCTCACAGCTATCGATCACCCGCTCATCTGAGGGTTGAGGCAAGAAGATCAACTGGAAAACTGCAAATCAACAGAAAAAGGTTCGCTTCCGAAGAAGTTCAAAACAAAAGAACTTGCAGAACTTGCATCAAACTTCTGGGGACATCAAGAATGGTTGCTTCCTGATTGACTAGTGGACTCCGACAATTCGCCCAGCTGTAGCACTGTGCTCCCGGCCGTTGAAGGGCTGTGGATGGTTTTGCGGTTGCCGTCCATAGAAGGTGCTCAACACTTGACTTAGCCCAAGTTAAGCATGAGATGCAGTTCGTAATATCAACAGCCGCCTTTCCGTCCCTTTCCGTCCCTTTGCTACTTCTATTTCACATCTGTCCCAGTCTCCCCCACAGTTGCAGTTTTCCCTAGAATCTCTAAGACCCTTGCTTCGCCAGCAGCTCGTCTTCGTGCTCGATGGAGGTGTACTCGTAAGTTCCCCGGCCCCTATAGGACTGGTACCTCGTGGCGAACACAAAGACCCACAAAGAGCTCAAGTGTTTCAAAAGCAAATCTTCAGTGACTATTCAGAATGACTATTCAGAAATATGTTTCATATTGTTTCATGATGTTTCTATTTGAAAACTATGGAAATTAATATATAATATAAATATATATATATAATTGAATGTTTCAAATCTGCGGCGCACTTGGCCATCCCCAAAGATTGACCCGTCGCAGAAGCTGCTGTTGGAGGTCCACTGGCTGGTAAGATGTTGCCGATGGCATACAGCGAGGCCTTCCATCGTTGTCGTGAAAAACGATGTGAAAAACGAAATAGCTGCAGAATAATAACAGAATACAGTGAACACAGAAGCAAAATTTGAAGCATTACATTTGACATTTGACTCAGTGCTTCAATCTTCAACTTGACGGAATGATTGGGCTTTCAGAGTTACAAATCCCAAGTGATCTTCAAGTCGTTTCCAGTGGAAACCGGCCAAATGTCAAGTGACCGAGATCAAGGACGGGTCGCTCACATCAAAGAGACCTGCAGAAACCAGGAGCGAACCAGAGGCACGCTGCACCAAAGCCACCAGTTCGGCAACGTTCGATGACCAAAGCCATTGCAGACACAGATTTTTGTCATGGCAAACGACCTGCGTTGGCGTAGTTTTGGATCATATCCTCCAGCACATTCATGGACGCTTGATCCTGCGGATGCAACTGACCCATCAACCGCCCCGGTTTTTCGGTCTCTGCTACAAGTTGTACCAAGCCACCCTAACAGCTACCAATTTCTACCACCAGTCTTCCCATGTCTTTTCATGTCTTTCCATGTCTTTGAGGTCTTTGCCACTTTGGTCGAGTCCACTTTCTGCGCCTTCAACCCAGCATCAATTACGCCGTTGATGACCACGGCCTCCAAGACACCGCAGTCACTCTTTATGAAGGAAGGTGTTTAATGAACAAAAGTGGACAAATAATATTTTTGTATCTTTACATATGACAAAACATGAGACATCTACAGATCATGAAAAATCTAACATATGCTTTGGGGAGAGAATATGTACAAGAGTCATGGGTACAAGTGTGCACACACTATATCTTCACATAATGCTGTGGAAAAGGGTGGCTAAGAATGCCAATTGAAACTTCTAGCAAGTTATTAGTTATTGATTAGTAAATGAGTTGCAGGAAATTTCGAGGTGTCCCATTTCCCCTCTCGCACCTGATTCACCGCAGTGTTCATGGTCACAGGCGCTTCTGCAGTGGTCTGCACCATGATCTCACGTACCTGCAAAACAACTTGCGATCGACTCGGATCCACCCAAGGGATCTCAGTGCTACCAGAAAGCGGAAAACGAAAGATACAAAACATCCTCATATCGACTCATATCGACTCATATCGACTCATATCGACTCATATCTCTCAGTCTCAATATGTCTGGTCTCCTGTGTCATAACTTGTGCAGTTTGTGGATCCGGTTCTTGTCCGGGAGGTAGAGAGGGCGCCTGAATCACAGCAGTGAGATGGATTCTGAATGGATTCCCTAACACAGTATCAGTACTCCAGGTCGTGGCATCGAAAAAAATCTAATTGGGATGTGGGATTTTGGTGGATAAAGTTCCTGACCATTCCTGACATGTTCATAACATTTCATAACTTTCATCTACTGAATGTACCACCTGTGGCTACTCCGCCTGTGCGATGTTCAGGACAGTCATCAAGGTGTTCACCGCCGTCTCCGGATCGGAAGTCACTGCGCTCTGGCACAAAAACGAGCATTGGCGGCGACCGCAGATGCACCCTGAATCTTGGACTTTGAACACGTTTCTTGAGATGTATCGACAAGAATAAAATGAAGTAGCTGACAAAGTAAAGCAATCAAAGATCATCAAAGATCATCAAAGATCATCAAAGATCATCAAATATAATGTAGCAGCTAATGAAAGATCACGAGAGCGTCGTCAAATCGAAGTCTCGGGTCATCGGGTCATCCCAAAGAGCCATGGCCACAGTCAGGCGTTCGTTGATGATCGCAGTTGCATTTTCTGGTCGAAGACTGAAGACCTGGCTGTGCTTAGGAAAATCCCATAGATCATGATTTTCATATACATATATATATATGTATAATTATATACACATGTCAAGTCATATCATATAGTGTACGTTATATTACATATATATATATATACGTATATGTGTGTTCATACGACGGCACCTGGGCAACTCAAAAAAAACTCAACAAGAGTCTCGGGATAAGGCCGGATAAGGGTACCAAAGTTGACGTTGGGCGAAAGCTCCAACTTTGAAGGAACCGCTTTTGTTTGAAGGAACTTGTTGCAAGTTGAAATGACCGTGGATCTATCTAATCTAATCTTATCTTATGTAATCTAATCCAATCAAATCCAATCTATCTATCTATCTATCTATCTATCAATCAATCAATCTATCTATCTATCTATCTATCTATCTAATCTATCTAATCTATCTAATATACTAATATATCAAATCTACCTAATCTATCTATCTAATCTATCTATCTAATCTACCGATCTAATGTAATCTAATCTGATCTAATCTAATTTAATCTGATCTAATCTAATCTTATCTAATCTTTCTATCTATCCTATCTATCTATCTATCTATCTATCTATCCTATCCTACCCTACCCTACCCTATCCTATCCTATCCTATCTATGATACTGTATGTTGGGACAGAAGCATAGCACAAGAATCTGCTCATTCGCATGTAAATCGACCCGCATTCACAGCAATGAAATCCAGGACTCAGCACTCCTCACCTGAATACTCTTGGTCGTAGTGGCACCAAATGGTGTAATCACATCCACGAAGACTTCCCTCGGCAAGGCGCGTGTTGCACGCGCTTCCGTGTTGATAGCCAGACTCAGACAGACTATGCCTACGCTGCCGTGCACTGAACTTCGGCACCAAGTCACAGTGAGAAACCTGTGGAAGGCTCTCCGATTGGCAGCTCAGACACCTGTGCGCAGAGTCTTGTCACAGTTGGACCAAATGTCAGAGATCTCTTCCCTTTATCTTCCAAACATATCTTATGATATATATAAAATATATCTTATTGATGATTAAAAAACATATCTTATAGTCCCAAACATCTTCAAAAATATCTTCAGAAACTCCATCTGCACATGGCCACATGGCCTCGATCTGCTGTACCCGCTGTGGTGCTGTATTCAAACGCACCGTGATGGGCTCAGTGCCTGGGACGAGATCCCAATGATCGGAATGGGGAGCAGAATCCTTCTGCTTTGGATGTTACATTTGCTCGGAGAGAGATTTGGACAAAACGCCACACAACACATGGCAAGACTAAGAAAGACACCTTCAAATCATGCATAAATGTGAGTCTGGGTCGCACTTTTCATCATGTTTGCAGCCAAACGAGCTGATTCTAATCTTTGCAGCTGTTGCCGACTCGTTTTGAAGGCTCTCATTGAAACCAGCTGAGCTCTTTGGCCCTCGCCTAGTTTCAGAGATTAATCAGATCCTAACTACGAAGACATGCAGCACAGTAAGCCAAACTATAGTTTGAGGAGGGCTCTCATTGAAACCAGCTAAGCTCTTTGGCCCTCGCGCAGTTTCAGAGATTAATATAAGATTAATAAGATCCTAACTACGAAGACATGCAGCACATTAAGCCACACTATAGCAAACTTAGCAAACTATCAATGTTGTGAGCAGGAATCAAAGAAACGATTTAGATGTCCTTGAGAACATAGTGAATAAATGTGACTAGTGATGTGACTAAATGTGACTAGTGATGTGACTAAATGTGACTAGTGATTAATGATGATTAATGCTTTTTCGAAGCTGAAAAACTGATCGTTTGCTATCAGAGCATCGGATCGGCCTTTGGGATCACTTCCCAAAAGGCCGCGTTGACGGCCGAGACGGCCACGGCACCGGCATCGCCGGCATCGCTACTTAGCCAGGTCTCATGGAAGCTGCGCACCTGAAGGCATCTGAGTGCATGTCAAACGAAAGTCACGTTTCAAAACGGTTTCCATTATGTTGATTTATAATATAATATAACATATCAACTATAGTCGATATTATAATAGTATATATTATTCCACTATAGTATACTATGATATACTATAATTTCTCTCTGCGACCACGGCGGCCTGGCAGGGCTCATACTCGGCCATCTCTTGCTGAAAGCCTAGCGTCTCGAAGGTTTCCCAGCCCTGTCGGTGAGGAGCGAGCGACACCTGCTCTTTTCAGCAGCAGCCGTGCAGCATGCATTTCTGCAGCATGTATCACTATGTATCATTCATCAATCATTCATAACTCATATACCATATCTATAACCCATAGGAAAAAATGAAGCCGATGTCATCATGTAGCATGACCAAATGAAGCCCAACAACCACATCACCCTTGATGATCCTTGATAATCCTTGATGTGGTTGTTGGATTTCCATTAGCGGCGCCTTCTGCGTGTCACTGACGCTGAGGAAGTTTCCATGTGCAATGCTTCGGAACGACATTTGCACAGCTCCGGGGAGGTTCGCACTGGTCTTCTTATAACCTGCGGCTCTCGTGGCATCTCGTGGAAAACACCGGCCACGGCATCAAACTGGTCAAACATTTCGCCAATGGAAAGCAATGGAAGGATCATCTGGATCTACCCTCTGGTTATTTGTGCCAGTTCGCCATGGAAAATCACCATGCTATTAATAGGTAAACATATAGGTAAACCATCTATACATCAGTCATTTCCATGCATTTCCCATGGCTATGTTAGTCATAACCAGAGGCTAAATCTATTGTGTTGATCTGTTCGTCGATTCCGAAACGCTGCCGTGGTGCAGGTCTGCCAGGTCTCCCAAAATCTGCCCAAAGGAGCCCTTGGGATGTCGAAACACTTCGATGAAGCGCGTGCCGTTCACGGCACCTCTTGAAACATATGGGTCGCCATATCTACATCAACAATGACATATGATAGATATGATAGATATGTATAGATGTATAGATATGGTAGATATGATAGATATGTATAGATGTATAGATATGGTAGATATGATAGATATGTATAGATGTATAGATATGGTAGATATGATAGATATGTATAGATGTATAGATATGGTAGATATGATAGATATGTATAGATGTATAGATATGATGATATCATATCTATACATCTATCTACATCAACAATGACATGGCTCGATTTCAGGCAAACACTGATCTCCAAACATGCCAGTCATTTGGTCAAGCATCAACTTCACTGCGCCGTCCTCTTGGGCACTCAAATAGCCCTGCTCACTGTTACCTGATGGTCGGATGGATGCTCAGATCTGAAATACCGACCAGCATTTCATTACAACATATGACAACCGTAGTGCGGACCTTTGCTCTGAAGGTTTGCATAAAGTTGGCAGTGCCAAAACCTGCCCTACACTGTACTATCTGTACTGTAATATACACACCTTTACACCAAAAGAAAGCACCGCCGAGGCTCGCAGTTGAACGTGGTTGTAAGGGATGCAATCGTCTCGATCAGGTCTCCAAACTTCATGCCATGTGACCTTGGTTTTGTGCATGGATTCATCCGCCATAGACTGATGGCTGAATATGGATCAAGGACATGCCTATATCGCCAATCGGAGAAAAGCACTCGAAGTTTGGATGCAGCATGAATGAAGCGCTAGACAATCTTGTGATATGTTGTTTGTCAAATTGATCAAACCATTTCTGGATCTGTACCTCAATGTCATCTCACTTTTTCATCTTTTTCTCTAAATTTCACAGAGAAAACCAACACAGGGCGTTTTTCGCAAGCAAATCGAAGCATGATTTATAGTGGATTTTCCCATTGAAAATGGTGATTTTCCATAGTTTTTTGTATGTTTACCAGAGGGTAATACGTACGTCACCAACGAAACCATCCGGTCCATTGGACCAAGGCTCCGCGGCATTGGTTTTCACCAGGCTCCATGAGTCGTACTGACGCGTTTCGAGAAAACACATTGAAAAACAAGGAAAAAAAACAACAAATGGTGATTACAAATGGTGATTACAAATGGTGATTACAAATGGTGATTTAATGGGATTTAATGGTGATTTAATGGGATTTAATGGGATTTAATGGTGATTTAATGGTAATGTAAACTGAGTAAATTGGGTAAACTGGTCGTACCTAGCACTGCAGAGGTCCACAGTCCAGTGACAGTTTTTCCGAAATTTCGTCTGCCTGACAGTCGAAAGTCCAAAAGAAGGAGCCCATGGCAGAAAAGTCGAACTCGTTCACCAACCATTGGGCAAAGGCCTTTTGCTCCTAGCACCGCGGATGAATTTGTCGCTGTCGAAATGTGCTGCAATCCGCTACTTTGAAAGCTTTCCAAACATGTCGACACTTCCACTCTGGAAATCAGACATAAGTGACATAAGTACACATGAGTGACATAAGTGACATAAGACTGCATGGGACATACCCGAAAACATTGAAAAACGGGGAGTCACTGAGTCCCTCCAAGTTTTTCTGTGAGTCAGGTGAATCAGGTGAGGTATTCACCGGCCTCGCCACTAAAGCTATTGCCTGGCGCGACGCGACTGTTTTTCGAACTGCGTCGTTTTTTGGTTCTCAAATTTCTGATGTATACATCTATGATTATCCATGATTACTATTGATTATTGGTGATTATTGGTGGTAAAGCCAGTAATCAACCATGTCATTCCACCATATTCCACCAAAGCTCTTCCACCTGGTGTGACATGTCGTGTTGCCCATCGTGTTGCCCACCGACTTGACCGACTTTAGACGGACTTGACCGAGCCTGCTAGAGTATACTCACCCACAATGAGCTCGATCCCTGCATTAAGAAAAAGCGTCGCATGAGATCCAGGTCGCTGTTGTACGAACTCTTTGCCTCACGGATGGGCCAAGAGGTGCCATGCCAGGTTTATGGAGAAATATGGAGAGTTAACTGAGTTAACATGAATGCAGAAGTGAATTCAGTGAATTCAGTGAATTCAGAAGCAAATTGAGATGAAGTCAATGAAGTCAGGTGGGATCTCTGAATTCTCTCCTGGAGTTCCTCCAAGTTCCAAGTGCTCCAAGTGGCATCCTCCAAAGTCCAGTGCTCTCCGCTTCCTTCAAAGTGGTACAAGTGCGTGTCGAAAATCACACGGCCATAGATCTCCTTGTCCGAAGGGCCGAGACTCCACGACTTGATCGAGACTTGATCGAGACTTGATCAAGATACAAGATTACCCTCTGGTTATGTCAAAATAGCTATTGAAAATGACCATTTATAGTGGATTTACATGGATTTACCCATTAAAAATGGTGATTTTCCATAGTTACGTTAGTTTACCAGAGGGTATTGAAAAAAATCTGGTAAGTTATGGAAGAGTCACTAGCACTGTAGCATTTCCAATTACACTGCAGTCTGATCAATTTGCCTTTTCCCATCCCGTCCGGCGGGAAAATGATGAGATTGCTCCAGTCTATCCACTTTGACCTTAGAAAAACAGGGAGCAAAAAGTGACTTCCACCTCGAAACACCATGGAATGCCATGGCTGACGTATCAACTTCTTATGGGTTCCCTATGGGTTCCCTATGGATTCCCTATGGATTCCCTATATGTTTGCCTGGTTCCCATCAATGTAACTTGACACGTCACAGCTCCTCTATGCTCCTCTTTTTGTCAAGGTGCATGTCAAATGTCCAGGTGAAGACAACACATGGTTTATCCATGGGGATGCCCTCTTCCCGGATTGCTTTGCATGAGTCCTACACAAAAATATCTGCTGAGAATCTGGAGAATCTTGAGAATCTGAATCTTGAGGGTTTCAAATGTTTCAATAACATAAAGCCGGTGACAAGTAATCATGACTCATGACCAAAGAATGGGTATGGATTGCGTATGCCGAAGCGTTACTGTGGGACCCGTGGGCTTTGGGGAAGCTTCTGTTCGTTCTGATGCCGTCGAAACGATGCGAAACGATGCCGAAGCGAAGTCGTTGTCTCCTTGAAGAAGCTCTTCAAAAACTGGTGCTCCTGGTCGTTGTGCAGGTGTGGCTCGTTGATCACCTGAGAAGGCGTGATCTTGCTGCTCCAACTGCCATTGTTTCCAAGGAAGATTCACTAAAGTTTGATTGTCCCCAAACAAGATTCAAGTTAGAAACAAGATAGAATCATTCAGTATCTGATCTCAATCGAGCCTTGACTCTACCAGATACTGCCAGATACTGCCAGATACTGCCGTCGCTGCCGTCCCTGCCTGGATTCCCCACAAAGCGTCTTTGTCTTTACTGTACTTTGCCATGGCTCGAATCGCCTTCAAAGCCATCCTCGGCGCGATCAACCGAATCAACCGATCAACAAAATCAAAGGAACAGAATGGAGCAGACTCCAAGATCAAGATCGCCACAGGTATCACAAATATCAGATATCAATAGATATCATAGAACCAACATGTAAAAACAGTGCACGCCAAAAATGTATAAGACGATGTAAAAATGGGAGGGCGCCTTGCCTTTCATATTCGACCCAGTAGCTCTCGATTCTCCGTATTGCCTTCCATCTGGAAGAAATCCACATTCTGGCCACCAGAATCCCTCATGCAAGCCTGCAGTATTACTGCAGTATGCAGTGAGAGCTGAATCCGCAGCAAATCACAGAGACATGACAGCGCTGACAGCGCTGCGGTCGATGCCAGGGTGAGATCGCGTCCGAGGCACGCCACTGTGAATCTCACCGTTTTGGGAGCCAGGTACACCATGCAAGTCCAGTAGCACCTGGTACTAAAGATTACTAAAGTTACTAAAGTACAACATCATCAAAATCGCAAAACAAAGCACCTAATAGGCACCTAACAGGGCGAAATGATGCAACATGGGAGTCGAGCCATCGCCGCCTTAACTCCATATTTGCTGGCGAAAGTGAAGATTTTGTCGAAGTAGGGCTTGTAACTTGGTGGCAAGCTGAGATAGCACAAGTGTTTGAATTCACTCATATTCACTCATTTTCCAACAAAGTGCACGAAACAGTGCACCAAACTGAGCCCATCGTGAAAAACAAAACAGTCACATGTTGCGCAACATGTTTTCTGGAAGTTTCTGGAGCCGAAGAACTCTTCAGGTGTTGCAATCCTGTGCAGGTTCTTCAACCGCTCCTGAACACGATGACGTGCGATTGAAGCTGCCGGGTTGAGAGTTATGAATCACGAAATATCATGAAATGTCATGAATATACTGTAATAATCTGTAGTATGTCATGAAATATACTCATCAGTTTAGGGCCTATGCCCTCAGGGCCTTATTGTGATAGAACATGACTCGTACAAGACCTGAAGAGCCCCAAGAGCCCCGCTTGAAGCGGCCTTGAAGTGTTCAAAGTCTGCCGGAACTGCTGGACCCTCATCATTCTCGTATGTCACAAAATTCCAATAGCCCACCTGGGATGAAAAGAATTGAAAGACACAAAGCGAAAAGACACAAAGCTATGCAACAAGCTATGCCGCTATGCCGATTCCAGTTACGGCAGGCTGCAGGGAGACGCATCACTTCTACTCCCATGCTTTGCATCTGCTGGAAGTGTGACTCCTCGAAAAACAGGACGCCAGCCGCCAACTTGTGAAATTGAGGCTTGACATCTTATATGATGTTATAAAAAACATGACATTGCCAAGACAAGGTCACAGTCGAACGCAAACTTCTTGATGATTTAGCCATATTTATGGGCATATTAATGGTATTTATATATATATAATTATATATATATGTATATGTTTGTCGGATATTTATGGGAACCCTTGGTAATCATAGCCATAGCCATGGTCCAAGGCTGTCCAATCCACAAGGGCTCCTGGATGGTCTGGCTGAGCCACGTCAGCATCAAATCCCTGGAGGCCTTGCCTGGAAAAAGATCCCACAGCGCGGAGCCTCGAGTGGAAGTCACCGAAGTCACCGAAGTCACCGATTTGCTGATGACTTCTTTTTGAATCCAATTAGAATGCAATTTCTATGTGCATTCTATGTGCATTCTATGTAGAAATTCTATGTGGAAATTCTATGTAGAAATTCTATGTGCATTCTATGTGGAAATTCTATGTAGAAATTCTATGTTATGAGACATCTAATATGAATCATATGATGACATTCTACATAATATGATTACATAATATGATTACATAATATGATTACATAATATGATTAGTAATATGATTGCGTGCAGAATCTTGGCACATGGATCCTTGATCGATGTCTGAGGACGACTCAAGACAAACACGGCAGCATGTGGAAGCTTGGAAATGCTGCTCAGCGCATGTTCAAAAAATACGGCATGTAGAAGTCCAGTCAAGCGTCGAGGACCACCCTTGTCGGTGATGCTTTGGAAGAAGTCGTAGGGATACTCCAGGGGCACCAGATGCAGCTGATCTGTTTAGCACTCAAAAATCCTACAGTAGGATGTACCCAGATGCTCCAAGCAGAGAATACGGATAGATAATTGTAGATACAGATACAGAATAGTGATTTTTATAATTAGTGCTAATTGATTTTCTCATTGGCTAATGTATACAGCATAGATACAGTGCTAACTGGATCTAACTGGATCTAACTGTGCTAATGGGAAGGTTCCATGATAGTTCCATGATTCCATTGTGCCTTGATCCAGTCTTCAGGGACGAAGCGGTTCCCGTAGTTCACACCATGCCTCAGGCGCGCAGCCGGGCCATAGCAAAGGGCCCTTTAGTCATTGTTGAAACCCATATGGATGGCTTGATACCAAAACGTATTCAACAATATTCAACCATATTCAACATCGAAAATCATTCGAATGGCACCGAGTCAGCAAAATTTTCTCTGCCAAGTCACCATCTCTCTGGACGCTTCAGATGTTTCACATCAGCGCTGCTCAAAATGGCTGGATGACCTGGATGTCTGTCCTGGGATCTTTTCGTGGCCACCAACTTCACCAACTGCCGCCCTCCTGTGAATCATGGGTCGAGCAGGAAGGCACGGCCTGTTGAAAGGGAAATGAAGCTTCTGTTTTTTACATGCCAAGATGCGCCACCAGATGCGACTTGCGTCAAGACCCTTCTAGTGATTGAAAGATATGTAATATATATATATACAAATGATTACTTAAATGATTATATTAGAATATACTAGACATACATATACATATATATATATAATATGTGTGTGTCATATATGTATGTGTGTGTGTGTATGGACTGGATGTGCAAATCAAGGTCTCAGCGCCAATCCTCGAGTCAGCATGGAGATGTCGTCCACACCTCGACTTGCGAAAAGCGCAAGCGCTGTGCTGTGCTACGAGTGACTACTGACACCATGAAGATCCATGACTACACCATGTGTAAAATGACATGTATAGGCCATCTGATGGAAATCTGATAGGAAATTAATGGGCATTAAAATCATTAATTAAAAAAAAAAAAAAACTATGGAATCCCTATGGAAATCTCCAAGCGGCTAGACCTGGACACATACTCTGCCGAGGCACAAGTCTCGTTTTCAGAGGAAGACTGGCCTCTGCCGAGGCACAAGAAATGAAGTCCCGAAATGAAGTCAACACGGAATTGCAAATCATGACATGAAATGGTATGAATGAATCAATAATAGTACATATATGTACTCATTACCATAACAAATTCACAACACACATATATATATATAGAGAGAGGCAATATGTTGAATCATATCTCCTGAAAGATCTGGATTCGACAGCAGGTTGCGGAGCTGACAACTGCTCCAAGTGCTCAGCTTGCCTGCAACTATCACCAAGGAAAGCACGAGACATGTGCTCAGCACCGCCATGAGACGGGACGGAAAAGTCCCGGCACCGCACTTTGTCAGGTGCTGGGATTTAAAAAATTGCAGGATCAGGATTCGAACCACAAAGCTGAATCGAATAGCACCTTGGTTCAAGGTCAAATATGTCAAATGATTCAAATGTCACAGAAAAGCACCAGCTGAAAATGACACTTGCCATGGGACACTTCGAAAGTTTAGCAACAGAACACAACTTGCGGTTTCCACATAAAATTTCCATTACATCACACATGACACATGGAAAGCAATGGAAAGCGGTCGCTTCAGGTTCCCACCAATCCCCAAATAGTACATGTAGCCTTGGTCGATCCAATCGATCCAATCGATCCCAAGGTCAGGTGTTTTTTGGCAGTCGTAGTGTAGCGTCTGGCGTCCCCGGCCAAACTGGTAAGTCAGTGGCAGGTCATTCCTGAGTCTCCATGTGTAGGTAAAATATTGGTAAAATAATAAACCACCCCCCAGTCATCACCATTTTTATAGCTATAAATGAGTATAAACCATTCCCAGTCATGGGTGGTAAATTCATGGCATTGTTTTACCATTCGTAAATTCTCCCAAGGATGTTGTACCCATGTGAACTCGATGCCTCCTATCCACCAAGATTCGCAACCCAATCGGGAGCTGAGAGCACCCTGGCAGGAGAGTTGTTCGCAGTTAACTGAAGCTATCACGAGGCTCTGAGATACAGCACTAGAGTCACTAGAGCGTAAACTTGGTAGATGTCGCAGAGTACGTAATGATAACATATGATAACGAAGTGGTAACGAAATCATGCCATTAAGTTACAGAATGCTTGGATTGTCTTGGATTATCGCCATCCAGAGTCATCCCAGAATCACACGGCGCTTTTTTTTGCGCGGCCTGGCGGTGTCCATGGTGGCGTTCAAGGGAACGCAGAGCAATGTACCGCTTCGCGGTGGCAAACCGGCCGTCTCCAACGACACCTCAGTGAGCTATGGTGAACACAGCTGCAGCGTTTTGGCGTTTTGCCATGATCAATGTGGAGCACCAAGAAATACCACGGAGCTTCTGTTTAAATAGTGTGTTTAAATAGTGCTTAAATAAGTTCTAAATTATCTTTACATATCTTTACTGGTTTGGATTTCGCAAATGAGCTGTCAAATGCTTTCAGACTCGCAGATCACGCCAGGCATCCGGACGTCAGTGTAGCCCTCCACTAAACCACCTCCGACTGTCATGACCAGTCGAATCCTGGGGGAAATCGCATTTTTCATTGGTCTCTTGGCAAACAGAGTTGTGTCGAAGAGCAGTTGGAACAGTTGGAACCCATTCATGCTCTGTCAATTCTTCAATATTCAGAGATGTGCCAAAGGATTTGACAAGAAAAAATCTTTACCGATCTCCCTGTGAGTTCGAGGCTTGTAAATCGTCGATTCTTGCAGCGCATTTGCCTGACAAGATTTCGCGACGTGTTGTGGACACGTTCGTCAGGTTCGAAACATCAAACGGTACGTTCACCCCGCGTAGAACCGTGGAAGATGGTAGTTGTGTAGTAATAGTCCGATGTCTGGAAGAACACCGAAAGGATTTTCGGCTAGGGTTTGGTGTCTTGGTGTGTCTTGGTGTCTTGGTGTCGGTCTGAGGAGGTGTACACTGTACTCAGCTTCGTCCCACTGTGTCATATGTGTCATTGTGTCCACACCTTGATGATCATGTTCGGAGAATCCGGCCTGGTTAAAGCGCCGCGGGAGCGCCGCGGGAGCGCCGCGGTTTTTTCTGCGACTTTGGGACTTTGGTGAAAGCTTCAGAGCACAGAAAGAGTCGTTTCCGTCGTTTCCGCTCCTGGTGAAGAAGCGAGAGGCATTGGTGATGTCATAGACGTCGGTTTGGTCAATGTAAACCATCCTGCGACATAGTCATCCACCAATGCAATGCACGTCTGCACAACATCTCCAAATCGGCAAACTGGGCCACCCAGACTTGTCCACCAGGTACACCGTTGTTGGATCGTTGTCACTTTCTGCTTCTCTTGCTCGATCGCCATCGTAAAGTGGATTGGAGGAGAAGACCAAAATCTGCAGCCATTCAGAGACACAATCGTTCATCACAATCGTTCATCACAATCATAGTTCATCACAATCATAGTTCATCACAATCATAGTTCCATGATTGTTTTCCATAATTTTCCAAGTTTTGGTTCGATGTTGTGATAGTTTTTTAATGGAAAAAAAATCCACCGCTCTTTTTGCTCCAGGCACTCGCCAGGAGAACTCCAAAGCGATGGTGGGATCCAACTCAGACTCCACGGTGCCGGAGATACTGATCTGCGCCAGGTTGCAGTGCGTATGCGTCAAATGTGTCAAGTGCGTCACCGGATGAGAAAAGGCATTTACCATCTGGTTATTTGTGCCATAGCCATGGAAAATCACCATTTTCTAGCTAGGTAAACCATCTATAAATGGGCCATCTATACCATGGCTATGTTAGTCATAACCAGAGGGTATTTAAAAAAAAGGACGGGAGACGTTTTTCCCCGGATTTCATGATTTCACCGGTTCCAAAACGGTGTCAAAAAAACGTGTCCGCGCCATTCCGCGCCTCTGCGGTGACGGGATACTTGGGCGCTGGATTGTCGATGGTGAGCAGGATTTGGGGCACCACCCTACGGAGTGAGTGCTGAGTGCTTGAGTGCTTGAGTGCTTGCAGAAAAGCAAAAAAAAAGGATCAAATTTGAATCAAGTCAGATTCAGACAAGATATCACAAGATATCACAAGATATGTTCGAAAAGGCATCCATAAAAGGAACGCTGATGTGACAAGAATGAGGCTCCAACATTTCGGTGATCGTGATCCGAACATCCTGCGAAAACTCAGATGCTGTGTAGCTGAGTCATTCTGAATAGCTGATATAGCTACCATCTGGTTATTTGTGCCATAGCCATGGAAAATCACCATTTATAATGGGTAAACCATCTATAAATGGGCCATCTATACTGTGTTTCCTGAAGCCTCCCAATGCCAACAAGTGAACCGTCCTGGAACCCTGAACAGCAACTGAGATCTCGACTCCAACCGGAAAAAGAATGTTTCAACCCAAAAAACAAAACCAAGTTTCCCCAAAACTCCAAGCAGCCACCTCGCTGCCAGCTGACGCACCTTTGTGCCACTTGACATCTAAAGGGCTTCGGTCCGGCCCAGATGCAGGTTCTTCAAGATTCCTAGACTACACCCGTAGGGTAGTAGTCTGGACTACACCCGGTGGGTAGAAGTCAAAGCAAAAGTGGAAGTATTTCCATTTGAGAATTGGATAAATAGGGATGCATGAAATTCTCACACGCACTCCCCCTATGTGATCAGTTTCACTGACCACATATTCAGCTCAAGCCCTCTAAACAAGTCTATCATCTGCAGTGCAGCAAATCGCACATGGATTGAAGGCCCGAAGTGGACCATTGGATCCCGCATCACGACAATGCTCATAATCAACATGAAGTGCATATCCATGTGAGATCGCATACAGCCTATGTTGGGGAACGTCTGACTGTGGGCCACATCTGTGACATCGTGGCGTCAGACAAACTTCCTTGGCATGTCTAAGACCATGGCATTCACGGTCACAGTGGTATCTTCCACCAAATGGCGTGGTGAAAAGGGGTTTTGGTCCTCTTTGGGAACGAGATCCTCTTGATCTCAACATGTTCGCCGGCTCACGCGCCGCTGCGCCGCCATCTGCCGCGCCAGCTGCAGCGCTAGGAATGCCAGCTGCTCCATAACTTCTTGGAGCGCCATCAGCACTGCCAGCAGCTGTGGATGCAGCGCCCGCAGCACGGCCAGCAGCCGTATTTCCATCGCCAGCAGCGTCAGCAGCACAGCCAGCAGCCGTAGATGAAGTGCCCGCAGCGCCAGCAGCACGGCCAGCAGCACTAGATGAAGCGCCCGCAGCCCCAGCAGCACGGCCAGCAGCCGTAGATGAAGCGCCTGCAGCGCCAGCAGCACGGCCAGCAGCCGTAGATGAAGCGCCTGCAGCGCCAGCAGCCGCAGATCCAGCGCCCGCAGCGCCAGCAGCACGGCCAGCAGCCGTAGGTGAAGCGCCCGCAGCGCCAGCAGCCGTAGAAGGCAACCAATTTGGCCTGACAGTTGGATCACGTTGCTGCTGATTTCTTTCATCCTCATCTCTTTCTGGCGCATGCCACAAAAACGCAGGCACGTTCAGCAATGAACCTTTGTATTTGACAACAGTGAGCTTGTCAACTCTGTGCCACATGAAAATGCCCATGACGCATGCTCCAATGATGAAACCGGCAAAAAGGATCACAGCCACAAATATGATGAAATAAAACTGACCGTCTCTCTGCTGCAAAACTGGATTGAGGTCTTGAATGACCAAAGCATTTGAAATATCTTTTTTCTCCTCATTCGATGCTCCTGCAAGCGCCAATTTTGTCACCAAAATGATGATCTTCAACGCTTTCTCACGTGCTTCTTGTGTCATCCCAAAAGTGGTTTCATTCTGTTCTCCGTCTTCTATCTTTCCCAAAACTTTCCAACCTTCCAAAAACATGCCCATGGTTTCTTTGTGCTGGTTGAACTTCTGCACCGATAAAACTTTGGTGCCCAGGTCAGCTGGCATCTCAGCTCCAGGCAAATGCCGGATCATCCATTCCCCAGACAAAACTCTTGAGCGCAAAATGAAGGCCCTTTTCCGCAAATGGCGTGTCCGCCAAGATCCAGTATCTCCGGCAATGATGGCTAATGCCGCTGAGCTGTCTGTGTAGGAAAATGACCTAGCACAAACATCCAATGCCCTCCAAAACGACCTTGACAGCATCTCCCGCCAATGCTCCTTCAAGCACCTCCACAAGTTCGGCCTCGGCCGTCGATGCAGCTTGAATGGGCTGCTTGCCAGCCTTCCAGAGCAACAGCGACGATCCCCAAAGGATCAAATGGCATCCAAATGAGATATCGCTATATGATGCATCCGTGTACACATTGAGCTGCTTCTCGCCCATGTTGTTCTGAAAAATCAAACCTTGGTCCATGGTGGCTGCCAAATAGTACCACACTGGTTTCACCAACTGCACAACCTGCATAGGTGACTTTGTGATCAATGACGCCAGCTTGGAGACAGTGAAAGCCAAATCAGGCCTGGACCTGGCAGTGATCCAAACCAATTCACCAATGACTCGCTGGGCTTCTTTGACTGCCATTGGAGTCTTCTCCTCACCTTCAATGACCTCGGGCTCCTTCACCAAAGGAATCTTTCTAGTCGGCCACGTAGTGGGATCTGCTCCAAGATTTCTTTTCAGCAAGTCCTTGATGTAGTTTGTCTGCGTCATCAACCAGGCTCCATCTTCTCTTCTCCATAGCTCCGCGCCCAAAAATCTCACCTCCTTCTGCATGTTGATGGTCTCTGGCTCCGATGTCTCCCATTTCGCCTGCACCCCTTGAATGACTGCAGCGATGGATGAGGGAAAACCAAGGACCAGAAGATCATCCACATAGACCAAAAGTAGTCCCACAAACTCTTCCTCATTCGTCTGCAAGTTGGGACCTGGTTGCTTCAGCATCATTCTCCACATGTTTGGCTCCGTGATCATTTGCTGCAAGGTCAAAATGCCACCCTCGCATGGTAACTCCATCTTTGCAATCTCCTGATCACGGTAGTCTGACCACAATTTGGGTGACTCCTTGTAGCCGTAGAGGGCCATGATGACCTCGTAGAATTCGTCTGGCTTGGCCAATCCAGCCAAAATGAGAAGAGCAGGAGGGCGGATGATGGCTCTTCTAGGCTCCATCTTCTCCCCATTCTCATCCTTTGACCCGGACAAAACCATTGGAGCATTTAAAAATGCTGTCCTCACATCCATGACGCTCCCTTCAAAACCAAATTGTGATGCCACCGTCAATGCAGCTCGAAGTGCCACTGCTGATGCTCCGCCTGCAAAGAGATCTTGCCCTTCTTCTCTTTCTGAGAAGTTCCCACAAGCCACCAATCGTGTCTTTTTCTTGCCACCCTTGTTGGTCTGATCTGGCTTGACTGTGAAGACCAGCTTGCTGGGGATAAGTTCTGCTCGATCTTCGTCAAGCAGCTTCTTCACCTCAGCTTCTGTGATCTTTCTCAGCGCCCCTTTCGTCTCAAACAAGGAGGTCAGCTCTTTCTCGATGGATGGCCTCCAAACCTCAATGGAACGGCGAACTTCAGCTTGTGACACAATGCGTGTCTGCAAAACTTCTTCTCCTTTCTCAGGTCCAATCAACTCTTTGACCATGGTGATGGAATCCAGCACCATGCCAGCAACTTTCTCATCATCTTCCATGGCCTCAACCATCTCCTCCTCTATCAAACGTTGGACCCTTTGTTTCTTGGCCCATGCATCCTTTTCTTCCTCCTCAAAACTTGGTGATCTGCCATCTCCTTCTTGGTTCTCAAGTTCATCTGCTTCCGCGGCGTCCTCAACCTCCAGCATGTATATGGACGCTTTGTGTCTGATTCTTCTCCTCTCTTCGATTGGGTTCAAGGCATCTTCAACTCCAATCCAATCCTCCAACTTTGGTGGTTCACTCAAGCCCTGCATGACCATCTTCGTCAGCGCCTGAGTTCCATCTGCCCTTTCAATCCAATGCCCATGATGAACCCAAGAAGGACATAGGTAAGTGACCTTCTCCTGTGTTGGTTCCAGTTCTCGTGATCTCCAAAACCTCTTTCTGACCAAAACTTGCGCCAAAAAAGGCGGTGTCTTTTTCTCCTTGTCAACCTGCTTCTGTCGCAACTTCTCATTGATGAAGCGAGCTGCAATTGGCCAGCGATCAAAAGGTGCTTCAGCTCCATGAAGTGTCCGCCTGATGGCTGCCTTGATGTGCTGGACAATCGCTTCACAACGTCCATTCATTTGGGGCTGATCCCCAGGCGTAAACGTCTGAAGGATGGTGCGTGACAGGCACCATTTTTCCAAAATCCTCGATCTGAACTCAGCTCCTCTGTCGCTATGCAGCTGTGTCACTCGATACCCGTCTGCTCTCAGACGCATGTACATGTTGATGATCGCCCTGGACACATCCTCTTGGCTCCTTGATGCCAAAGGCTCGCAAAGCTTGGTGACCTCAATCCTCACCGGCTTTCTTTCTTCAAGCTCCTCTGATGTGTCCTCCTTTGGGCCTTCTTCTGGGTTTTCAACCTGATCTGCAATCTGCTGTAGCTCCTCCTCTGCTTCTGGATCCTCAATCTCCGGCGCATCTGGGGGAACTTCAGGTATCTCCTCAACCTCCTCCTCTCCATCTTGGTTCCTGGCTGTCCAAGTGAAGCTGGCTACCAGGAGATACTTCGCCTTCTTCTTCTGCAAATCAGGTGCTTCTTTGAAAGGTCCTGAGATGTCCACACTAAGGACACCCGCTTTTGGTGGCAATTTCTGCCGCCGATGATGAGCATCACGCGCACAGGCCTCTTGGCACACTCTGCAATCTCTTCTAAAAGGAGTATGGCCTGCTGCAATGTGCTCCTGCCATGAAACTGCCCGTAACTTGACCTCTTCGCCCATGGTGCAGGTTTGGAGAGCAACAGCAATGGACCTCATCATCAAGGGTGGCCACCGTGACAATCTCCTGGACGATTCGCAGATCTCTGCCTTGGTCATTCCAGAGACATCACGTGGTTGCCCTTTCTTTCCTTGAAGTGGTACTTGAAGTGGCAGATTTCCTCCTATAGTCGTTGGCTTTGTAGCTATGGCCCCAAACTCTGACTGGTCAAAACGCTGGGTCTGCAGCTCATAGATCTCGGCCAAGCTCTTCCATTGAGGTGTTCTCCAAAGCGACACCACTTCAGGCTTGTGTTCAGGTGAGGCAGGCTGCTCCAGGATCAAAGTGGTGGGTGTCTCTAGCCCAGCTGCTCTGCGCACCGTCTCTGACACAATGTAGAGAACCAAAAACCGCATGAGCAACGTGTCATCCAAGGTGACCTGCTCTTTCTCAAAGTTCGAAAGCCCTTCTATGCCAAACTCCCCTCCATTCCAACTTCTCAGAGGCCTCGGCATGGCTTCCCCTGGAACTTCAAGATGTCTGAGAACCGATCTGGTCCTGCATGGTGGCCCGGCTATCCAACCCTTCACCAATCCATCCAAAGCTGCCCTCAACAAGAGCGGGTAGGCCTCACCTTCAGGTGAAAGATCTGCTTCAGGCTTTCCATGGGTGATGTCAAACTCATACATCAATCGACGATCACCTCCAATCTCATGAAAAGCCCTTCCCAATGTGTAGCCTTCATTCTTTCCCGAAAAGGCGTGAATCATCATACCCTTCGCCCTCCAAAGTTTCCTTCTTCTTCTGTTTCCCAACGGTAGGATGTCCGTTGCAGGCTTCTCCACCAAGCTTCTCTTTACCTCCTCAGGGATTCCTTGAAGAGCTGGGTGTTCATCAACCAACCTTCTCAACCATGCCTCTTCTGAGTCCTCCCCCGTTTTCAAACTTTTCACAACCTTCACGGCCTTGGCCTCAATCTCCTCGATGAGCTTCATGGCCGTGGACTGTGATACCATTGGACATCCAGCTTCAACCACCACCTCCAACTTGCCAAGCACTGGGTGCACCACCTGAAGACCTTCTGGCTTCCATGAGATTTCACATCCAAGGACTGCAGTCAGCAATCCCATGGGCACTATGGGCTCCGTGCCTTCTTCGCCCACAATGACTCCCGTTGGAGTGAGTGCCATATAGATCTCCTTGTCACCTGCCAGCGTCACCTTGACCTTTGGTAGATGGTGAAGACGTTCTCCCTTTCTTTTGGCTCGCAAAGGGTGTGTTGCCCCTGAGTCCAGTAAGCCCTTGTTCACCATTGGGCACAACTTGGAGATGCGAAAGGGTCGCATAGAAGCCTTCTTGAGCTCATCCAGCTGCTTCTGTAGGCCCAAGATCCTTTCTTGTGCGTCCTCCCCTTTCTGTCTCTTTTCTTTGACATCTCCTTCATTCATTGATTTGAGCATCCGACTTGCTTCATCCAGCAACGACTTCATAGTTTCTTCTCCTCCATTACCCGTGGCCTCAGACTGCTCCTCGGACTTTTCAGGAGATGTTGTAGCGGACTTCACATCCTTCTCTGCAGTCTTGGAACCAAACTTTGCTGCCTTCGGCTTGGACTCCTCTGTGGTCGGACAGGCTGTGGCCATATGGTCCTTTCCTCCACATGTCCAACACCTTCTTTCTCCATCCAACTGGTGTCCAAAAGGACATCCTCTACCTCTTCGGCAACCTGAGTCTGTGAGGTAAAACCTACATGGTTTCCTCCTCCCTTCAAACTCCTCTTGAGGCTTCCCCTTCGGCCTGGTCCTTTCTTCAGGCTTGCTTCCCGAGGCTTCCTCAAACTTCTTCACCTTTGGCTGGCTCTCTGCCATCACTTCCTTCCTTTTTGCCTGCTGTCCCATCTGCTCCAGCTCTGCAAGAAGGTGTTCGCTGTACTGGGTCACTGTCTCCAACGTTGGAACTGTCTCCACCAACAATGAGCTCTTGACCAACGACAAGCGGAAGTTGAGATCTGGGTAACTGGAAACAATTTTCCTCACCAAACGTCCCAATCCCTTCATCAAAATTGAACTGTCTGGAATTGAAACTCCAACTTCAAGGGCCCGGCGCTTCCATCTCATCCAACGTCTCAGCTGTTGGATGGCTGAACCCACGGTTGCAGCTTCCATAGGTGCTTCCAGCGCCGTCAAAATAGCGCTTCTCTCTGTCAGCCCTCCAGGTTGAAACTGCAGCATCGCACGAGACAAAATGCCCAAAGCTGTGATGGACTTCGCCGCAATCACCTCCTCTTTCATCGTCTGCGGCAACGCATTCAAGAGCAAGGACGAAGCCCTTCTTTCCAGCCGGGACCACTTCTTCTGCTGCAACTCTGGTGTAGGCCTTGGTGTGCTCGTCAACCTCTCAATTGGCGATAGCTTCATGTGGTGATCATACCAAGTCCTCGCTGTTGAGAGGGTCAAGTCCCACCACATCTCACTCGTTGAGCTCAAGTCTGCCATATGAGGATGCAGACAAATCACCCAATCACCAAAATCGATGGGCGCCGTCTCCGGATTCCATTCAGCAAGTTTTGGGAGATCCGCCACATAGCGCACCACTTCAATCTCATCACCTTTTCCTTCCTCCTTGGAGATCACAATCTGTTTCTGAAGCTCCTGCATGCCCTCCATCAACTTGAGCATGATCCTCATGGACTGCTTGTCAACGCTCTCCTTTGGCCTGCTTGCTCTTTGCGGCTCCTCAGAAGACGAATCGCTCTCTGACTGTTCTTGCCGGGCTTCTGCCCCATCCTCCTGAGAAGATCTGTCTTGCCGGGCCTCTGCCCCTTCCTCCTTAGAAGGTGTTCCTTGCCGGGCACCTGCCCCTTCCTCCTTGGAAGGTCTTTCTTGCCGGGACTCTGCCCCTTCCTCCTTTTTTAACATGTTGGCTGCTTTGTCATCTGGTGTGGTAAACCTCGACGATCCCTTCTTTTCCAAGGCTTCCAACAACTCTTGACGCTCTTGACGAAGTCTTTGGTTTTCATGCTGTGCCGCACGCAACTGAACCCCTAGATGTTCTATGCCATGCTCAACTTGCATTCTCCACATGTAATCCCTTTGCCTCGCCTCATGTTCACCTTGCTGAGATCCTACTGATTGAAGCAACCCTGTGAACCAACCTGGAACTGCTTGTCGCTCAGCTCCCCCGTGTCCATGTTCTCCAACCGCAGGACCATTCCATGAAGCCGCAGGCGATGCAAAAGGCATCTGGTGGATCTCATGAAGTTTCACCGTCTGCTCTGGTGAAAAAAGTGGCAACATACTTTGGACCTGTCCCTCTGGTGTCACAAAGGAATGGGGACCTAGTGAAACTGGCTGTCCACTGGGTGTTGCCATCTCTTGACGCTTCTCTGGTTCTATTTCTTTTGGGGTTCCTTTTTGGCCTCTGACTGAACCCTCCTTTGACTTCTGACCCTGGCTAACTGGTTCTGTGGCTGCCCTTGGTGACCTAGAGCCCTTTGCAGCGTCTGACCCTCGCCCTTTCTCCAACCCATCCGGTGTCCTCAAGGCCAAGGCTTGAGAAGCTGGTACAAGTTCTTGTCCAACCAGTTCCAGGCCTCCCTCAGCTGCATCTCCTCTCGCCCCAAGCGCCTGTGCTGCATCGCCTTCAGCGCCCGCAGCCGCCATCTGCCGATCACCAGCTGCCGCCGCTTGCACCGCGCCAGCCGCTGCCATCTGCTCAGCGCCAGATCCATCGACAGCGCCGCCATCCGGTCTACGTCTACGCATCATGTCAGAAGTCTTTGGGGGTTTACACAAGCTCCTTGGGCTCATAACCTGTGTTTCCTGAAGCCTCCCAATGCCAACAAGTGAACCGTCCTGGAACCCTGAACAGCAACTGAGATCTCGACTCCAACCGGAAAAAGAATGTTTCAACCCAAAAAACAAAACCAAGTTTCCCCAAAACTCCAAGCAGCCACCTCGCTGCCAGCTGACGCACCTTTGTGCCACTTGACATCTAAAGGGCTTCGGTCCGGCCCAGATGCAGGTTCTTCAAGATTCCTAGACTACACCCGTAGGGTAGTAGTCTGGACTACACCCGGTGGGTAGAAGTCAAAGCAAAAGTGGAAGTATTTCCATTTGAGAATTGGATAAATAGGGATGCATGAAATTCTCACACGCATATACCATGGCTATGTTAGTCATAACCAGAGGGTAAAAACATGTAAAAACCGTAGAGTCATTTTGTGTTTCTATATCAGCTAGGTCATGTTGCCCACCTGCACAATGAAAACAGGGCCCATCACCCTGCCCAAAAAACACTCCTTTGTTGACACACGGCCATCACTCGAACGTGCCATCACCTGTTCAAAGCTTTAGGCCCGGTCAGAAAATGAACGCACAGTCCAGTACTCTTTTGTAAAGAACAAGGTTGACGAATCACAATAAACAGTATCTATTCAAACAAAACTATTGAACACTCTCCATTTTTGCTCTTCCAAAATCAGTCCAAGCAAAAGTGCCCCGGTGTATTCTCTTAGGTGGCGTCAAGCGTTATGCTTGTTTTTGAAAATGCTGAAATTCTCTGATGTACAGCTTTGCCTTCCAACAAAAGAGGCTCAACGAGGGCTCAGGCTCAAAATAGAATCTTCATCAACCTTACATATAATATACATAGATATACACGAACTGTACTGATCTCAGTTTAGATTACATTCTGCACAAGAAATCACAACATCATCAACATCCTACCAATGAAGTGGCTAAAGTGGCGAAAAGAAGTAGAGATGTTTTCAGAGCTGGTCTGTGTCAAACCTTTGAAGATCAACAGTTTAAACAATGGTTAAACAGTTAAACACTCATTAAACACTCATTAAACACTTATTAAACACTTACCCTCTGGTAATTTGTTACATAGCTATTGAAAATGGCCATAGAAATACTGAGTTTTCCCATTAAAAATGGTGGATCTTTCCATCGTTTTTTGTATGTTTACCAGAGGGTATATATTAAACACTGGGAATTTACGATCTCCCATGAACCTCAAAGATGTACTCACCGGCGGTGAAATTCACCGTTGAGACCATCAAGACTCCACGAGCCTTGGAGGAGCGACACCAGGCGTCATAGCGTCACCAAGATCATCAACTGTGAATAACCATAATAGATATTAATAGTGGATATCCCATCATTAATAGATATTAATTGATGATCAGTTATATTGATGATCATGATATATATCTATTATCCCATATTTTTATTGTTAGATAATAGATATATTAGGGAATATTAATAATGGGATAATAGATATATAATAGATATATCATCTAAAAATTCATCAAAGATCCAACGTTTTCCACCTCCGAGTTCGCCGAGATCCAGACCCAGCGGCAATAGAGGCCGTTGTCGAAGAGCGGCGTGCTGAAGAGGTTTCCACCCTGGACAATCCTGTCGAGTTGAGTTGAGTCGAGTCAACGTCAACGTGATATGAACTTGGTGCGAGATATGATATGAAGAGATATATGATATGAAGAGCAATGAAATCAGGACGGAACCTGTAGAAAACCATAGAAAACCTATACTTGGGGGAAGGTGCGAAATGGTGCGAAAGCTAGCAGGGCGGGACTAATTACAGTAGGTTGTACCGGAGAGGCCAAATCTCGGCCCAGAAATTGAACCCAGAGCGGGGCTAACAGCAAGAAAGTGTCATAAAGTGTCCATATTCCTTGCGCAACTTCGCAACTTCCACAAGCTTTCGTGACTCTGGAGCAACTTCACACTTTCAAAGACACCATCTTTAAATAGAAATGGACGTAATGGACGTGTGGAAAATGTGTTTTAATCAAAATGCCCGGGGCACGTGGAGTCAAAGTCGGTGATGCAAGTCTCCTTGGTGGTCAGTCAAATTGAGACATTGCTTGAATGGAGTCATCTCTTGAGATGCGCAAGCTTTCTCACACTGTAACAGACATTGGTACCACCAAAAAACTGTCAATGACTGTCAATGGTGGTTTCAATGGTGGTCATCTGGACATGTTGCAAGCATGCATTATATGCATTGCAAGCATCCAAGGGTGGAATGAGCCCAGTGGAGTTGGTTCCGAAGCACGGCAATCGCTCCCTTGGTTCGCAGGCTTCGCTGAGAGCTTCGCTGGTACTATGCACTTTATGTGACCCCATAATTGTCGGACTTGTACATTGAAGTCGGTATGCTAGCTTCTGTATCAAGTGGACCAGCCGTACACCAAGAGTAGCAAGCTACCAAAATCAAACTAGAACCATCTAGAACTTATCTTGGCCCTAATGCTCACTATGTGCTCCCTATGTGCTCCCTATGTGCTTGCCGTGTCCTACAAGCATGTCACGATGGGCATCCGAGCGGAGTCAAACACCACCACTGGAAGGTGCCCAAAAAGGTCATTCCAGGATTTGTTGGGTAGTCCGGATCCTCGTCAAATCTCACGCTAGGCCGCTAGGCTTGGAACATTTGGAACTTGAAACGTGATGAAACGTACGCAGTTTGTGAAGTTTATATCGTCGCAACCGAGAAATCTGAACACATTTGGCTTAAACATGCTCACATTATATAGCAGTATATCGAAGTTTGCCACTCCTGACTCTCGCGAGCATCCAGAACCAGGATATCACCACGCGTCATCAAACGATCCTCCGTGAAACTTTGAATGTGCCAATAAAAGGAAGGAAAAGGATGGAAGAAGTAAGAATCAAAAGCTGCGATAAATCAGAAATACCAATGACACACCAACGGAAAAAAAGGACTGAAGGAAGTCCACAATGAGGCAAATAAGATTATAAGATCAAATATATAAGGCTACACAGGCTGACATGCTGAAACTGTCACGACCATGGAGCAGCTCTCTTAGACACATCCAGCTCCAGCAATGCAATAGATGCTTTCTGTCATCCGGTTCTGTGATCGATGACAATTCAGTGACAGTGTTGGTCGTGTTGGTCGTGTTGGTCGTGTTGGTCGTGTTGGTCGTGGTGCCTCTGTGGCCAGGTAAGCAAAGACCGGAGAGCGGCGAACCTGTTGGACGGACGCGATGCTGCCACAGCTCTACCGCGCAAAGCACCAACTCTGCTACCAGGCCTTGACAGTGACGGAGGCATAGGCTGCCTTGTTCGGGCTGTCAACAGCGAAGGTCTCCACCGTAAAGTTGTAGGTGTTCCTCAGGAAGAAATCTTAGATTTGAAAATTTGGTTCTGTCAGTGGTGACGATCTCATGATGATCTCATGATGATCTCAGCATCCGACAGATCACTGCCGCTGCCGATGGGTTCCAGGACGAAGGGTGGGATCACCAAGGATCTCGTTGTATAGACCTTACTATATTTACTATAGGAAGACTGAACGAAGAACGAATCAGAAAAACGAAACGTGGAGAGAATGTGATGAATGTGTTTCTGTTGAAAATCATACAAAATCTTGTAAGAAAATCTTGAAGTGGAAATAGTCAGCACAGAGCTGACCTCCGTTGGGAACGGCATTTTTTAGCCCCGGACGATTTCAGGGATGGAAGACAGATCCTGCGACAGGGACAGGTCTGACAGGTCGAGTAGTACAACTACCCTCTGGTAAACATTGGTAAACTAACAGTTTGCTATTGAAAATGGCCATAGAAATAGTGGATGTTCCATGATTTTCCCATTGAAAATGGTGATTTTCCATAGTTTTTTGTTAACGTTTACCAGAGGGTACAAGCTGCGCCACACCACCATGTCACCATGCCATCGCAGCATCGCAGCTTGGCGCACCAGTTGGCCAGTGGTTTCGATCCAGCGATACTCCAGCTGTGTGGATACAGTTAAACCTGGCGAGAGATGGGATGATGTGATGATGTGATGTCATGCTTTCATGATTCCAGTTCTATACTAAGCCATGTCCCAAATTCCACCACAAATCAATCACAAATCAATCACAAATCAATCACAAATCATGCTGAGACTAGAGTCGCCAACATCTCCGATCTGATCGATCTGAGCATCCAAACACTCCGAAGGTACGCCATTGGCCAACAAGGAAACTTGCTCGGTGCCTTGTTTGAACGTGCCGCGTGCTCTGTTTGAACGGTGCAGGAAGGTCCTCTGAGGCGCGGGCGGTTCACCAAGAGCTCTTTGGGTCCCAGGATGCTGACCATTGGCGCAGGGGCATCTAACTTGGTGATGTCTACCTGGCACTGCACTGGCAGCAAAGTTAGCTCCAATATGGACCAAGGCCATGTGGCAGCCATGTGGGTCGTGAAGTTCTTTCAGATTCTGAGATCATGGCCAGCAGACTCTGTGAGAGACCCCAACGACTGGTGACCTGAACGTGGCCAAGCTGGCCATAGTTGTCCTACCACTGACTCCTTTGACATTGATGAAAAGGCAGAAAGTAAGACGACTTACACCCAAACATTGCAATGTTCGTAGACATTGCATCACGCAGCGAAAACCACAACATCTGGAAGAGCTGAGGGGAAGTGCACTCAAGTAGAACACATCATATGATCAGAACGCTACCACACCATCCAACATAAGATGGCCATAACATCAGGGTACGAAATATCCAGCAATGTTCATTGCATAGCATTGTAATGTTGCAAGGCTAGAAAGACACTGTGGCAGCATGAGTTACAACTGTTGACACCACTGACACCACTGACTCCCAACAATCTGCTGCAGCATGACCGGGACACCACTGCAAACGACTCTAACAGCATCAACGTGCAAGAGAAGAGGACACCACAACTAACAGCACTGACCACGTGACACAAAATGAATGACACTGTCACCACGACACATATGCATACATATGGCATAAAATATCATAAAATGACCCACATTTTCTGCCAGAACAGGGACATACTGGAACATACTGGGACATACTGGGACACCGCGTGGCGGTGAACTGAGCTTCATACCGTGAGGTTCAGGGTGAAGAGCACCGCTTCTTCCAAGTACTGCGGGGGAGATTCCACTTTCCCTTCGTTGAACTCAGCGCGTGCGGCCATGCATCTGTGACATCCAGTGACTCGCACTGGAAAGAACAACAAAAAGCCTGTGGTTCCTAAAACCTTGGTCTGGATGAAGCAAAGGTAAATCCTATCTATCTATCTATCTATCTATCTCGGTCTTGGTAGACCAGATTGAACAGGGCTCCCAATAGCGTTCAACATTACCACTTGCACTTCGCAATTTTGCCGATCATGTGCTCTCCGATGCTGTCCATTCTGAAATCAGCCGAAAAGCATTCGATGCATTCTCCAGCACGAAGCGGAGAAGGTCCATCTTCGTTTCTGGCAAAAAGCACGGAGTGGAATAAAAAGAAGTGCAGATGTGGAGGCATTGCACAGCCGCATGTGAAAAACTCTGTAAACTCACAGAAGGAATCCGAGTCAGAGAATCGCTTCGAATAGTCGAATAGCTTACTCGGGACTTTTTTTTGCACAGTGACATGGTGCGCTGCACCACAATTCCACAATGCCAGGAATGCGATTGTAGATCCTTCCAGCTGGATTGTTGGTCAGATCCGTGTAGCCCAACAACTCCCACCTGTGGAAGCCAGTGGAAGCGAACGAAGTGCACAGAAGCCAAAGCAATTTCAAAGCCAAATCCCCAAAATCACAGCTCGAGATGCTCGAGATGCTCGAGATGCTCAAGGTGCTCTCACCACTCCGGGATCGTTTGAACATCGAGCGACGCAGATTTCCATCCCGTCCCACCTGTAGGAGGCTTTTCCGCCTAAGAAGTAACTGTCAGTGGCGTAGAGCTGCAGAGGGCTGCATTCGTCAATCTGGCCGCGGCTCAGTCGCACTGACTTTGCTGCAACGAAATCAAAATTCATCTCATCATTTGGTGCATTCTATTCATCTTCACATAACTTCACATAACTTCACATATCTTCATGTTCAGTGCGTTTCACATCGTTTCACCTTTCTTTGATATCGAACAAATCTGTGCTGTCTAGTCTAGTCCAGTTCCAAGGAGAAACACAGACTTTGCCAAGGCCTCTGTCTGACCTGTGATGATCACCACAGGCTGCTCCAAAGGATCTGGCCTCGGACAAGCCGTGTAAAGAACGTCGGAGAACAAATGATAAAACAATACACAACAATGTCAAACAATAATAATAATACTAATAATAATAGTAATAATAATATGTATGTATGTATGTATGTATGTATGAAAGTATATATGTATATATCATATGCATATGTATATACATATACATATATATATATTATGTGTATATATATATACGTGGAAGAACCGAAAAGTCAGAAACAACAAAAGCAGGGCTTTCGAACGGGACAAAAAAAATCTGCCACTGGGTTCACCAGCAGCGAGATGGCAATACCTCCTGGTGCTGCCATGGAGTACTCGTTGTCCTGAGCCGATTCCCCGTTCTTGGCCGTTGGATTATTGTAATCCCCAGTATATAAAGGTTAGAAAGGGATATGAAGGGTAGTATAATCATGTATCATGTATAATCATGTATAATCCGCCAACTAGTCATACTAATCATTAGGGTTTTGAACATCTAAAAGTGTCGCGCCACGATCAAAAGATCAAGTGCACCTGTGGACGAGGGATGGTGTAGATGGTGTCGGCCTTCAGGAAGATTTGGTCGCCCACCTGACACTCTTCCGACTCTTCCACTTTGGACGTCGCAGTCGCAACTTTTCTGTCTTGTACTCAGCGTGACCTTTGAGAGGAGACGTCTAGAATCGTCTCTACGTCATGAGACATCTTGAATCAAACCCGTTGCAGCCTTGGCTGCCTTTCCATTGAATCATTGAACCATCTGTCGCATATAGCTGTCAACCATTCAAAGGATCACTGAAACACACTCAAAGTATCACTGATAAAATTGATAAACTGATACCATCACCATCTATCCCCATCTATCAGTAACCGCGGTCACCTCTTTTGCGACTTGAAGCGCCTGGATATCAAAGACTCGTGGCAAGGAGATCTGAACCAAGTCGTCAGAGGCCTCGGATTTCATCAAAGAGCTACGATAGCTACGAGACTACGAGAAATGGGATGTCGAGGGAGGATGCATCACACATTGGGCATTTTCTCATGATGCATCTTGATGCATCTTGATGCATCTTGATGCATCTTGATGCATCTTGCAGCTGGTGTCCCCAAACTGAAACTCGATACGTCGTGGCATTTTTGAGGAGCAAATCTGTGAAATCCAACTGCCGACCTGCTAACCCCTAAGCGCTGCTAAGCTTCCCGACCCATTTGCAGTTTGTTTCAGGATAAGGCCCGAGGAGAATGACTGTGTCCTGCGACAGCCGATCCAACGTCCGATCCAACGTGTCCCAACGTGTCCCATCAACACAGCGAGAGGTGCTCTGAGATGCCAGTGATATCAAGTGATTGTTTGAGGCCTCCAGAACCTGCTGGGTGTCGATCCCTACACCCACAGGCTGAGAAATATGGTGAGACCAACGGAGCCACTGCATTCTCCATTTCAAGAAAAGACTGGGAGACCAGCATTCACTTCCAAATGGTTCCAGTACATCCCCTTCAAGAGTTCTGGAAAAATCTATGTGCATGTTGATATCTTTATATATCTTTATATATGTTCATTATGTTCATCATTAACCATCATTAACCATCATTAGGTGTGTTTTCCCGGACATCTACCGCCCATATCATCCCTGCCATTGAAAAGTCCTCATCGAAAATGTTGGCGCAACTCCAGGCATCTCCAGTGAGCTGCGTTGTGTAGTCGATGATATCTGGCCTGGCGGGAGACGGGTAAAGCTTCCAGACATAACCATTGATATGATATTTGCATATGAATGAATGAATGAATGAATGAATGAATGTATGTATGTATGTATGAATGTATGTATGTATGTATGTACGTATATATATATATATGTGTGAATGTATATATGCATTTCATATGCTCAACCCGTTCTGAAGAAAAGAGACAGCTGCTAAACTGCCCACACTGCTATGCAAAGCATGCTCGGAGCACACAATGTCGTTGTTGGTATCCACGGGTAGTGCACCACGCAAAGTTGCACGGTCAAACTTCACATCGATGGTGACAGCCTCACCACAACAGTTACATGCGAGCAAGACACGAAAAAGAGAAGCACGGCTCAGTTGTGAAGCATTGTGAAGCACTTGGAGTGCTAAGACTCATGTGCATTGCCTGACTCTGAGACAGTGCTTAGACTTAGACAGTCATGAAAATTCATCCGACAGATTTCAGATGGACCTCTGACGTTCCTTGAGGCACTGCATATGCTGCGGCTCTGCGTAGCTCTGCGTTTCGCATATTGTGAAAACAACTGAAATCAACAAGTGAAACTTTGGGGTACCTCCATGCTGAAGCGCGCGTAGACCAAAGCTGGTGCCGCCAGAGAGAGCGGAATTCGCGGCTCCTGGCTTCATGCGAATTCTGATGTGACAAATGTGACAAATGTGACAAAGCAACCTAGAAGAACAGTGCAAGAGAAACCATGTGAGTGCTTGGATATGCTTGGATTCTGGTGTGTGGAATGATCGAGGAAAGTTAGATCCGTTGAGATCCCAACGCTGCCTTGTTGAAGATGGGCGTGTATGGCGACTTGTACGTCACAGTGCCATCACACTCTGCTGGACACCAATCCTGGCTGGATCAGTGTGCCACAGTTGCAGGTAATTATACACTTTTGTCTTGGTCTTGGTCTTTGTATTTGTCTTCTTGTTGCTGTTGTACCACTGGTATTGAGCTTCGTCTGTAAAAAATGTAGCGAAATCTCAGGTTCAGGGGGGTGATGCCGCAACAGCCCAGTGTAAGGAAGTGCAACGAATGATTTCACGAAGTAACGGTGCTGATTTCATGAGTTCAAAACGTGCTCAGGGCCACGAAGTAAATCTGCTCCCGGATGCTGATCTCCATGAGGATTGGTGGATATTGCTGCGGATCACGCGGCTGGATCCAATCTGAAGGATATTTCCTGCGCAGTCCCAGTGGTCCCGGTGGTCCCAGCGGTGTGGGTCCTGTTCGGTCCCATTCGGTCCCTCGGTCCCGCCTCACCATGATGAAGCTCTTGTTAAAAAGATGTTCGCTAACGGCCTGTTTCGGCAAATCGCCGACATTTCATGGAGATCTGGTGTGAAAAAGTTCAGTGCGTGCTTCGAAAGAGTAATTTATGCTCAATGTACTTGCCGAAATATTGCAATGTTTGGCAGGCCCTATGGTGGCCTTGTCTTTTTCTGAACAATGTTCAACTTAAAATGTATGGCATTGGTTTTTCTGTGCTTAAAATCTATGGTTTCACTATGGCACTATGGTTCTTGTAACAGAAAGTTGCTTCAGTTGCTTCAACATGTTTTCACTGTTTCACCTGACGGCGACCCAAGGTCCGTGCCAAGCCAGGGGTCACAAAGAGGTCGCCAAAGTCCACGGTGGGCACCAGGCGCTGTGGCCTCGAAATACAAAGTGACTGTTGATGTTTTCTGGAAAGCAAACACCTCCAAGGACAACCAGAGTGTTTCCACATGTTTTCGACTTGAGAGTTCGAGTTTCTAGTGGTGTGCTGTGGATAGAGGTCCACGGTCCACGAAGATCTCTGAAACAAAGGTGATCAAACGTTGTGGACAGGGAGATATGTCAAGTTCAGCGCTACATGTTCGCAACGAACTGTGTGTGCAACACAACTTGGTGAGATACTTGGAGAATTTAGATGACTTTTAGATGTATTTTTTTTTGGACTATGAAGTGACCATTGAACAAACTTCGGCACCGTTTAGCAACTGCCCAGGCCCCCCCGCAAGGCAGGCGTGTAGATCCACTCTACACGCTTGGCGTTCTGCGACGTCACCAGCGAGAAAGAAACGAGTTTGAAAACTCTGGGAACACTTAACCTATGTTGACCGATTAAAACCTATGTTAGCCTATGTTCATTGGATGAATTGCAGTACATATTAGTCAAAACCAATGTTGATTATCGATGTTATTTTCATGTTATTACCATAGGTTTATCAATGTTGATTGGGAATGGCTTCTTCAGAACTGTTGATAAACCTGCTAAAAATTTCTGTTCGAAGATCTCCACGGCCTCCACCTCATTGAAGTAGATCTTGGCAATGGTGACCTCGAAATGGGATGAAATGGTACATACCTTCTGGTAATTTAACATAGCTATTGAAAATGGCTATTTATAGTGGATTTTCCCATTAAACATGGTGATTTTCCATAGTTATGTTGGTTTACCAGAGGGTAACTATATATAGAAATCTATAGAACTATATTAACCACCAATACTTATCATACAAGAATAGAAGATAATAGACCTACAGAACTATGTACCACCGTTATCTTCATGAAATCTCTGGTATAGTAATAACTATAGGACTATGAGATACTATAAGCAGTCCACTGAATGACAAAGGAGTATGAAGGATACCGGAGTGGTGAACGGCAACAGATCTTGGCGCTACAAACTGCAAACTCTACCCAACTCTAATGACTCTAATGGCAATTCCAACGTCCAATCTCCCCCCGAAAGCTCTGTAAACCTTCAGCGACCATCGTAATGCCCATTGGAATCTGAGGTAGAACCCATCAATCAAATATACTGAATGTAAAATATGGGTATGGGTCAATACCTATAGATACATTTTTAGTGGGATGAACATCCATTTACCAGCTATTTGATGTTCACTAGGTACCAGGGTTTTGACCCATCCCCATATTTAAAGGACATCAAAAAGTTCAAGCAATCAGCAGCACTCAGCGAGTCTAAGTTACAGACGATCATCATGAAACCTGATCGATGGCCCACGGCAACTACGTCACCATACTTCTCATTGACCTCGGCGAAGTAATGGAAGTACTGTGAAGTACTGTGCGCAGCTAGCAATGCCAGCTATGCCTCTCTTGGATTCTCTTGGTACTCTTTCGGTCCAACAAATTGACCAACGCTTCATGTCAAACTGAACTGCAAATTTTCCGATTTCAACTCCGCATCCAATGCATCCGGACCATAATTTGCAGCACCGTGAAATCCAGTCCCTGCGCCTGCACATTTCTCAGCGCAGAGTGTCACAGAGTGTCACATCATAGACTTGGGACATCTTGGGATACGTGCGTACGATGATTTCTTTCATTTCATATCATTTCATATCATTTCATATCATTTCATATCATTCATTCTGCACTCGAATTGATTCTCAAATTGAGTGCAAAGTGTGAGATGCAAACTGCACGTGTACAGTTCGTCTTGGACCAACTTGAACCTCTATGATGACAGCGTCTGGGATGCTGATAAAATACACGCAGGACCTGAGTAAACATTGTGACTTCACACAGTAGAACGATCTAGAACGTATATGATGTATATGATTCTCTACTACTATTAGTATGTCAATCTATTTCACAATTTTCACAGAAAATGTCAAATCAAGATTTCACCACTGCTGATTTCATTTCATCGTCGAAATTCCCATGCTGGGCGGTTGCTGGGCCCGGACTTAGTGTTCTTCAACAGCCCCGCTGGCTCTGCTTGGGTGAAGACAAAGACATCCTGACCTCGGCGGAAGCCACAGACACATCTCAAGAGAGATCGAGACACATAAAAATAAAACTGAAAACGGTGAGAAAAAAAAAAGTGTAAAAAAGTCGAAAGGATGTTTGTTACAAAGGTGAAAGGTTGCGAAAGGATGTGAAAGGACCGTAGATTCACAAAGAAACGGGTTCGGCCTCAGATAATTTAACTCAGCCAAGCAGTTCACAACTGCCAAGTGGCCATTGCGGGAATAGATGGCTGAGTTCGTGGTCCAAGCCATAAATTGCTCTGTCATCAGCTCTCCGAAGTTGATCAAGGGCAAATCCTGACATCTCACAGTGATCAAACATTGGCAGATCTGCATCACTATCATCACTTCTCTGAAATGCACAACTGCACAACTCAAAATTTGGAGAAGTTCTCGAAGAGAACCGCAAAAGTCTCTGGATGACTGCACAAACTTTGACGGCTGACTGAAGAACGAAAAAGAACCCGGGCCTCGTCAAAAAGAATCTTGGGATGAGTGATGTTGACAGTGTTGATCTGTGCTACAAAGAGCCAGTACCTGAAGTGAATCAGTCTGAATTCCTCTGAAAAATCCCATAGAGTGCACGTGAAACGATCCAGATTTCATATGATTCGATCAGATTTGCATTGCGCATCAGAGGCATCAGGGTCACTGCCAGGGTTGCAGCATCCGAATTCGAGCCGTGCTGGGAGAAGTCAGAACACCAACCAAGCGCGTGCTGTCCAGGTCATACTTCATGCCTCAGCGTCGGAATCAAGGCATTTGTTGCTTTCCCGGGAGGGTAGAAGGCATTGAAGGCAACAATCCCACAGCTTGCTGTTGTCACAGGTCGGAGACTTTCTGTTGTGAAAGTGAAAAAAAGATTTAAAAAAAAGAGAGTCAGAATGTCAGAGAAAGTCAGAGAATGTCAGAGAATGTCAGGTAGTCCATCTATGTCAATCTTCGTCGAGGTTGACCTACTGGCGACTCTAGGAACACCTTGGCGCTCGAGAAGTTCGACTTTCGGAATTCTGCTGAGCTGCCATGGATGATTCCCGGTAGCCGTGATTGGTACTGGAACCTTAGCCGGACGCAGATGTTACCCTCTGGTAAACATACAAAAAACGATGGAAAATCCACCCATTTTTAATGGGAAAACTCACTATAAATGACCATTTTCAATAGCTATGTTAAATTACCAGAGGGTAATGGTGAGATCGCACAGCTCTGACTTTGCCGATGGCAAAACTAGGCAAAACTCAACCAACAAAAAGGCAACGCTGCAATACTCAACGCCGCTTCTGCACGGCCCTTTTCTCCGGAAAATGACGTAGGAACGCCTAGGATGCGAAGCATGGCGCGAAACACAAAGAAAACGAGGCAAAATGACTACGACATACCACGACTATCCTCCTTGACTATCCTCATGACAGCTGACTATTCTCGTGACTGTAACAACAGAATGCCCACCTTTGGATGGACCAGCAGAAACAGATTCAAACAGATTCAAATGCTAACAACAAAAGATCGTGGCTCAGAAGTATTGTAGATAGCAGAAATCCATAAGCTATCTAACACTTCGCTTTGATTTTACAATTTTCATGCAACCAGCTTGAACCCTTGACGAATTCCCCTGAAATTTGGATGCCGCAAACATCCTTTGCAGTCTTTGTTGGTACGATCGGCCTCAAAGACCTTCATATGATGTCCATTTTCCAACATCTTGATTTGAGGATTCGTTTCCTTTGCCAATTTCCCATCATTTCTATCACTTCTATCATTTCTCTGAGTCTTCTCCATTTCGGACCACCGCATCGGAAAATCATAAAAGACTCAACCTGCATGGCACACGGATCTTGCTCCCCCACCTCGCCATTCAAAGCTGTCGTCCGTTTTCACCACCAATAAACAGACTCAAAAAATGACACTACAATCATCTACCAATATATCTACAATCTACTGTAGATCTTGCATCATCTTGCATCTGTAGTATCTGTGTAGATATCTGTAGATATCTGTAGCTATCTGTAGGTTGCATCTTGACATATCTTGACATATCTTGACATCTCTTGACATATCTTGACATATCTTGACCTTCCGCACCTCAATTCCTTGTCGGCTCCTTGGGTATAAGTCTAAGTATGCTGGGACCAACATCTGTCAACGTCTGCCAAGCTTCCTTAGAGCTTCCCACCAGGTTCTGGTCGTTCTGGTCGTTCGCTTCCCCATCGAAGTAGAATCTCCTCCACCTCCATCAACCGGGGATGATACCACCAGATCATTTCTGTTTACCAAATCTTCCCAGTATCATAGTCCCAACATCCATTGAATCATAGCCATAAAAATGATTCAAACTTGGTAAATTCAGAATTCATGGAATTCATGGTTAATGGCATTGAGTTTATCATAGTCCCAACATCTTTCGCTTCCGCCAACAGGATCCGACAGGATCCACTGGGCCTCTGCCACGCGGTCCACCTCAGCCTCCACGGAAAGGCTGGGAGTTGACTTATCGACGCTTGCCATGTCGAAGCTACTCCCGGCGCAGGCGGGCGGATGGACCCAAATGGCACGCCAACCTGCAGAAATGCAACAAAAAATGTAGCAAAAATGCTGTACAACTCGATGCCAAGCTAATATCCAAACCATTCTAAACGATTATAAACTCAAGAGTTTTTTTTAACTCAAGAGTTCAAACTCCGCTGTCCCAATTTTCGACCCAGTCTTGCCTGCATCTTGCGCACCTTTGATATCCTTGCCCAAGCTGTCGCCAACCATGACCTCAATGACTCTCTCCCTAGGTTTAGGACAATTGATGACAACTGAATACAATTCATGTCAGTATTAATAAATTTAATGAGTATTATGTCTCGCAATTTCCAGGGACGTTGGCTCCACTTTCTGAAAGGTGGCTGCTATTTGCCAGTGCCAGTACTTTTAGGGGACACAGCCTGTGTTCCTGGCCAACTCCTCCGCTGAGTAGCCAGATTTGGCCTCGGAGATCGGATCTTCGAATGGCGCCGCCCAAAAACCGCCCAAAAACCGCCCTGACCGCCCCGGCCTCACAGAGCTGAAACATGCGCTTGTCAGGCTTTCCAGCACCAGCCTAGCACAGCCACAGGAAACAGGAAATAGGGAGACATACAATGAAATATTCAATGAAATTCATCCCAAATCCGAGAAAATACGAGAAATCAACTTTGTATGCCTTTGCCTATTTTCATCTCAATAATTTCAGAATGAATTCAGCATGAATGCTATGCTATGATATGCTATGCTATTTTTCGGTGATATATGCCCAAGACAGCGAGCCTTAAGACATGGACATTTGACATGATTGACATGTACATGTTAAGCAGGTTAAGACCACTGCACCAAGGACCAACCTCCACGGAACTGACATGGAAGTCGATGATGTCCTTCCTGGCACAACGTGTCACGGTCATCTCGGTCAGCACGGCTGTGTTTTTGCGATGTGCCAAAGTGTGCCATTTTTGGAACTTCTCAGCACAGTAAAGATGAATAAAGCTGATATGTATATTGATATGTTCCAGATATGGTATAAAAATTACATTTCGAAAGCTTGAAAAAATTGAAAAATCCAAGCGTCAAAGCACAGATGGTGAAGGGATTGGCATTTCCATCTGTCAAGGTACCTGCCACGGTGCTGGTTGGAATCTGGAAAACCGGTGTGCCGTGGCAAGTTTGCTCCAGTCCACCGATTTGGGATGCTATCAACCGAGTCAACGGAGTCAACTTCGTCCAGAGAATGGACAGACACAGGGAGTCAAGTGAATAATGTGAATATGGTCAAGTGAATTATTAATTATTGCAATGATTAAACATGATTAAACATGATTAATAATTACAGTATCGTTTTTATATATTTCTATCATCAAGTAGTGAATATGTTATTTTTCAACGTGAAACTGCGTCGCCAAGACACCGAGCTTCACACGTTCTTTGAGGCGCCGCAGCATGGGCTCGACACCTTCGAAGAGCTTCGGTGCATTTCTCGCTGCGTGCCACGTGGCGAAGACACGCTCTGCCATCGCAGCATCACCTCGTGACTCTCGACATCTCTCGACCAAAGTTTCACGTGACACACGACGCATCACGAGTTGCGAGACACCCATTTCACTTCGTTTCACTTCGTTTCACTTCGTTTCACTTTCATGAGTTTACAAAAGAAATAAAAACGTTTACACTGACCTTAGACGGTTTGTTGCACAAAGAGCTACCAAAGGGTTCCGCAAAGAGTTGCCAAAGACACAAAACTCTCCACTCAGTGACCCTTCGTTCCACCAAACCCAAAGAGTCGAAGAAAATTTGATCACCACCGGATGGACATACGTGACGACGTGACGAGACATGTAATACGTGGAACATCAACGGAAATTCCAGCCTTTGGGCCTGGCAGAACTTCAGAACCCATACTGAAGCTGACAATATGACTCTTGTGACACCGGCACCTGTCATCCTTATCAAGGCCTCACGTCTGCAAAAACCATAGTCGTGCTTGCGCCTTGGAAGCTAAGTCGAATCATGACTCTGGATGACTCGGGATGAGACACGAAAGCACGAAAAATTGACCTGGAAATTTGGTCAAATTTGGTCAAGAAACTCTGGAAACTCTGTCTGCACTTCGACCATTCTGTCCCTGAACTGTTCAGGCGACTCTGACGGCTTATCTGGCATTTCCAGCTTCAAAGCACTGCACATCACCTGGCCCGGAGTTTCGGATCATCGTCTTACCATGTCTTACCCCTCTCAACTGCAAATTCTACAATCAGTATCAGTACAATTCAGTACAATCAGTTTAGTACGTTTAGTTGCTCAACATCAACGGCTCGGCTCTTCTGCGGGCGGCCTCGTGGGCTTTTTGTAAAGTCTCAGCTGTGCTCCACAACGTATCATCCAGGTCGAAGACGACGCATTGGATGCGGCCCAAAGGCATGGCGCCCCGGGCGCCAACGCGCCACAACGCCGCCGTGGTGAGATGCAAAACGGTGCGTCGCTCACCAAGTTACGTCGTGTTCAGGCAAAACAACAGCATCATATTTTAAAAAATGTCTTGGATAGACATATATATATATATATACGTGTGAATTTCACACACAGGAAGTGTTCAAACTTTCCCAACTTTCCGCTCTCTTTGAGTGACTCGAGTATAGGTTCTTAACATTAACATCAGGCTCATCCGGATCCTGTGGCGGAATTCCATTTCAGTGATTTCGCATTTGTCGATTATTTGCTGTTCTGTCCTTTGTTTCGCACATGAGCAGAAGTAGCAGCACTGCTGGCATACATGTGCATAATTGTGCATACATGTCCTGAAGTGGGATTCCAGATTGACAATGAAAAAAATGGAAAAAAAACGACATAAAATATCAGCATCCGTGCAGCGTCTAAAACGCAAAAGTGTACTGGTTGGTTGCTTCCAAGCAGGCCATGAACATTCCATGAGGGCTTGGGAACCCTAGAGTGATGAGCATGGCAATCGTTTTCAAAAGACGGAACACTGGTCCCATTCCGTGGTATGAAAGTATCTGAAATGACGTGAGCAAGTAGGATGAACTGCATGTAGAACGCATGTAGAGCGTGTGTAGACAGCATCTACATTTAGGGAGTCATGTAGGGAGTCATGTAGAATCCTCAGAATTCTGTAGACTTCAAGCGAACCTTCTTAGGTTCTGACGCTGCTTGTCCTGTCTGCACTGAAGCAGCATGGAGGAAATAGCGTTCCGGGTCTAACCTGAAAGCAGCCAAGAAAGATGTGGTGGTTTCTTGGCATGTCATTCCCATCATTTCCATCATTCACGTCATTCACGGCATATGAAAGTGTTCAGTTGCTTTCAATTTTTCCTGTTTCCCTGGTTTGAACGTAGTCACAGATCTCAGTAGAATATGTGGACTCGCCTTTCACAGGCTGAATCGGGCGTCCGCACTGCAAGTCTGGATTCCAAGCCTCTTGGCCTATGATTGTTGCCTCCCTCACGACAACCACCGTGTACCTTGCATTACACTGCAAAAAGGGCACAAATAGACAAGAAATGGCACACCATATGCAATCAAATGCTTCTGATTTGTGCCTTACAGAGACGTTGAACGGTTTTGACATGTTTTGATGCTGGATGCTTTTGAACATTTTTGAATGCAGCTCACAGATGCCGTCAGATGTCGCAGTGGCGCACCAGATCTTGCGCCAGGGATCATAGGCACCATGGGAGGAGTAAGCCTTCAGCGGCGCACCTGTGACCTCCGTCTAAAACCTGGAGTCTACCGAGTCTGAATCTACCTCATCAGAAAATCAGAAATTGCTTCCCCCTTCTCCATCTCTCCATGTCTTTACCATGTCTTCACCATGTCATTATGTGACAATTATGTGGTTCATTCTCCGAGAGCGGCGTCGCCTGAAAGTCGAACTGCACAAAGACCTCAAGTCGAAGCAATGATCTGATGATTGTCAGAATTCGTCGCACATTCCCACATTGTGATATAATGTGACATAGTGACATCGTGATTGTATGTGATCGTCTCCTCTTTCTTTTGGTCTCACCTTATTTCCAAGTAAAAAGCTGTCCAATATCTGTCCATTGGCATTGCATTGTTGCTTCGAGCTCGAGACGCCCCAAAAGGAGGGCGGACCCCCGCAGATGGGGTTCTCATAAAACTTGCAGGTGTAAGTACAGTAGGTGGCATCCACTTCCGTAAAGGTCTGGCGCACATCGAATTACGCAGCAACAGAACAGCCCAGCCGTCAGTGCAGTGCCGTTCTGAAAAAACACTTGGTGAACAAAGATGAACAAAGTGCCACACTTGGTGCCTCTGGAAGTGTCCCCACATGACAGCCACAACGAGGTCCATGAACTGCAGCGACAATCTCTTTGGGTGGACTGTTGGGATACCGCGATTTGCAGACCTGGCGCGAAAAGGTGAAAGGTGCGTCAAGTCCTGTGCGCTACAAAAAGGAATAAGAATAATAAGAACATTTGAAAACATTTGAAAACATGTAGTAATATGTAGTAACAATTGAGAAATTAAATGAAACTAAGAATAATTAAGAACGAAGAAAACACATGAAAACACGTGGTTTTCAAAATGAAAAATGTGAGTCCTGCAGTTTAAAACCATGGAAAGCGAGTCACAGCGAGTCCCATCACCCCACCTCCACACAGGCAGATGGATCAAAGTGCGTATCCTGCTCCGCGTCCCTAGTGATGGCCATCGAAGCCTCAGCCATCCAGCCGTCTTCGCAACACTCCCAGCGCAATGCAGCGATGCTGATCAAAGGATTTTGGCTATGTATATATATATATATGTATAGGATATAAATGGATATATAGTATATTATAGTATATTATAGTATCCTAATAGGATACCAGGATACATAAACATCACGAACTTTCTCAGGGACAAAACAGAATTGTTCATCGGTGATGCGTCTGGGATGCCCGGCAATAAAACAGCCAATGTGTACGAACTGCGACAAGTTCTTTGCAGCGGTATCTTCCTGGTGATCTCGCTCCGCTCTGCCAATAGAAATTGAAGCAGAAAGACACAACTCAACATACCCTCTGGTAATTTAACATAGCTATAGAAAATCACCATTTTCAATGGGAAAATCCACTATAAATGGACATTTTCAATAGCTATGTTAGTTTACCAGAGGGTACTCAACAGAATGTAACAAACTCATAATATACTCATGATATACTCATCTCATAATATACTTAATGTACTATGATATACTCAATATTCTACTCAATTCCGATCCATGCGGCACCTGGCAGACAAAGAGTTTTTGGAGTGGATGCAAAGCAGTAGACCGCTGCAAGACACATCCACCATCCATAACCACAATCGTTGGTTTATCAAAATTCATAGTTTTTGTCAACAAAACTCCAAGCTGCAGCTATATCTCGACACGACAAATCCGTGAAGCCAAATAGAAATATGTGAATTACGTCCCGACAAAGTAAACCAAGTAAACCAAGTAAACCATCCCAATGTTACCATATGTTACCATGATGAATCAATCCCCCACCATCCCAGGAGTACAATTTTCACTCACTGAGTTTCGACGGCTTTCCGGCTGTCCTGGACCCCCAGTCGGTTCAAGGGTTCTATCAAGGGCGCCTGATAGGGGGTCCCCTGGCAAGCTCGGTCATCAAACTGCTGAGTCACGGAAAAACACAAAAATCGTCAATTCGATTCAATTTGATTCAAACTACTTAATTACTTAATTGACAAAAAACTACTTGACTCATTCAGCACCTACCAGCATCTACTCCAACGAGTTGTCTTCGTGATGTTTCAGGTTCGGTTTGTTTAAACCACGTCGGCCGCACCGTGTTCAAGTCAATGCCAGGTACATGGACGATACCCGACAAAGTGGAGCCACGCCTTAGACATAGACTGCGTCATTTTGTTTTTTTTTGTGTGTGGCCTTTGTAAGGCACACTGACACATCCCCAATCATCATAATCATCCTCATCTGCCACGGAAACACTTGTAGCTGATTGATGCTTATTGCATTGCAATCAAATGGAATCAAATGCTATCTGCAAATGAAAACGTTAATGTTTTGCTCTGAGAAGCGATGCCAAAGGTAAAACATGAACCTTTCACCAAACTCACTTGGTGATCTTGCGCCAGCGGGAGCGCGACAAGCAGAAGTGTGCTCAACCACCTGCCAGGATGTCGACAGGACACAATCAGCGCATGCGTCGGTAAAGTACTCTCTTACCAGCTAATTTTAGTACATAAAAGTATAACTTAAATTCTATGGTTGTTGGCTTTTTGTTGGCTATATTGGCTATGTCCTGTGGAATGGGTCCGTTGTTGGGCAATCGTTGAATTTGTCATTGGCAGTCTTCCTGAGGTGCACAGTTGGACACAAAAATTGAATCTGCTATCGTATATCCTATCGTGGTTTCCATGTTTAAATTCATACAATGCAAACATGTATAATATATATATGTGTATGTATATATATATACATGTATATTCATTTATGGATTTATATGAGATGTATATGTCTATTTAGTGTGTTTGAATGTGTTTTGATACCTTTTTGGTGCCCCGTGGTCTCATTCCAAGGGACGGGAGCACTGCCAACTGCCAGGCGCCCAGCCGCACATGGCGAAAGCTCCTGCCATTTCCAGAATCGTTTTGTGAAACTGGTTACAGTATTAGTTATGGTATTAGTTACAGTATTAAACAATTCTGGTTACTGTTAATTATGTATTTATCGAATTCTGAAACAAATCAGATTCCTAGAGACACCTGACTTCCCAGAGACTTCCCAATCAGATTGTGGAATGTGAGCGCCCCTGGGTCTGCGGACATCTCGGCCCTCGACATTGCGCGGCCTTAGATCGTGGACGAAGAAAAAAGGCTCTGTCCTAGGGGGATGCCTCAAAATGGCAAGTTTAAGGAGAAAAGGATTGTATTTTACATGATATGATAGTAAATCAATGTAATATCTATATATAATTATATAATATATATATATATTCCTATCACATTACATTGATTTATTATCAAATTTCGGGCTATATTTTCAGACGCCATATGTTGAAATGACACGGAAAATCAGCGTGGCATTATGGGTCACTGGATTGAAAGATCTACACCTTTAGTATGTTCTGCTCAGAGAGGGCAGATGTTTTTTCTCCGGGAACTTGGGAAACTGTGACATTTCAGCCTTGCGGTAAGCCCCATTAAGCGCCATTCTGAAAAATGCCATGGTTAGATGTGTGACGTGTGGCCCCCCAGGGTTTCTCATATCCCAGGTGCCATCTCTTCATGCAACCAAGGAACCATAGATCACTGCAAAGATTTGATGATTTTTGATGGGTTTGAGGGTTGGTAAATTCTTCCAACCTCTTGGATAACATAAATGACAGCCATTCTGAGCAGTTCCTGTTGTTTTGAAGTTTTTTGTTTGGGTAGTGGTGTGGTGTGCAGGTAGACAGTGAGATGTAAAGAATCTGAGTTGATGGGAACTAAATCCTCGTAAGCGATGCATTTCCGGCGCTCCCTTCGCCAGCCGCGGCTTGAAACAAAGTTCTGGCGAATGCCCATAGATCGGAAATCAAGAACGACTCCCGACGACTCCAATCCCCATTGATCTCTGATATCTATTGATATTTATTGATATGGCAGTGTGTCAAAACCTTGTACCCCTGGTGAACATCAAAATAGCTGGTAAATGGATGTTCATCCCCCTAAAAATGGTATTAATAGGTATTGATCCATACCCATATGTAGCAAAACTGCAGCAAGATAATTCTGCCCTCTAGGCCAGGACAACCCTAAAGTTTGAACCCAGATCTATCCACCACAGCCGTGCCACACAATGTGTGGAAGTCACTTCAATTCAAGCACGTTGAAGCGAGTAAGACGAACTAAGTCGCAATGGCACCATAGGGTGAGACCATGCCGGTCAAAATGGCACAAAGTTAGGACGCTTCTACCGACTGGTTGGTCCAAAAAAACAAATTCCACAAAATCTGAGCATCCAAATCTCACCTGAGCGCTCACTAGGCTCACTTCTTCTTGCCACCCTTGTCATCACCCTCGCCCTTGCGCTCGCAGCTCACCACCTTGCCAAGCATCACCACACCGTTGCCATCCATGAAGGCAACACGGGAGAGGCCCTCGCAGTTCTTGAAGGTGTCGCAGACCAATGGCTGCTGTGGCTGGAAGCTGCACTGAGCCATCTCGTTGGACTTCAGGGAGTGAGGGTCCTCCATCTTCTTGCCACCAGTCTCCTTGCCCATCTTCCACTTCAGGGCAGACACACGGCAAGCTGCGCGACCGCATCGCACAAAGCCAATGGGGGAGTAGCCCACCTTGATCTCATTGGGGATGTCCAGCACCTGGATCTGAGCATCGAACTCCTTGGTCTGGCCCAGGGTGGTGTCCTTCTTGTAGACCATCACGTCACCAGAGCGGGGCATGTTGTTCTTGTCAAGACCCTTGATGTTCAGGCCCACGTTGTCGCCAGGGTTGGCGAAGTCCACACGCTGGTGGTGCATCTCCACAGTGAAAACCTTGCCTGTGCATGGGTTGGAGGCAGTGTGAGTGGGCAAGAAGACCACCTCCTCACCAGGCTTCACCACACCCTGCTCAACACGTCCGGCAAGCACATCACCCACACCCTTGATCTTGTAGATGCCAGAGATTGGCATGCGCATGGGGGCGCTCACAGGACGCTCAGGCACACGGCACATCTTGTCCAGCACATCGTAGACGGTGTCAACGTGGATGGTCTCGCTGCCAACCTCAACATCCTGACCCTTCCACCAGCCCATGTTCTCAGACTTCTTCAGCAGGTTGTCACCCATCCAGCCGGAGATTGGCATCACAGGGGTGCTCTTCTCAATGAAGTCCTTCTTCCAGCCAACCTTCACCAACATGCTCTTCATCTCGTTGGCAACCTCGTCATACCTGGCCTGCTTGTAGCCGGCAGTGTCGCAGTCCATCTTGTTCACGCCAATGCAGATCTGCTTCACACCCAGCAAGTTGATAAGACGGGAGTGCTGACGAGTCTGTCCCTGGATCTCACCAGCCTTGTGGTTGCCCTTGGCAATGGCAGTGGTGAAGTTACCATCAGCTGGCACCATGATCAGTGCCACATCGGCCTGGGAGGCACCGGTAATCATGTTCTTGATGAAGTCACGGTGGCCTGGGGCATCGATGATGGTGTAGTGCCACTTCTCGGTGAAGAACTCCTTGGTGGTGCATGCAATGGTCACACCACGCTCACGCTCCTCCTTCTGTCTGTCCATGAAGAAGGCAAATGCGAAAGAGCCCTTGCCCAAACGCTCAGCTTCCGCCTTCAGCTTCTCCAAATCACGCTCAGGCAGGCCACCCAGCTCAAAGATCAAGCGGCCGGTGGTGGTGCTCTTGCCACTGTCGACGTGGCCGCAGATCACAATGGAAAGGTGAGGCTTCTCCGAGTTGGCCGGCATAGTCAACACGAGTTCTACCCAAGTTTTTCGAACACAAAATTACTGGGCTGCAGATGTTGCAAATCGTTTTACAAATCGTTTTACAACAAAAAAAATGAAAGAAAATCAGCAGTCGGGCAAAAAAACAATTGATAATTTTTTGACACGCACTTGTGGACTTGGAGTCCGAGTCGTGCAATGCAGGCACGTACTGTTTTGCCAGGAATGTTCAGACATGGCTTAAACAAAACCGTTTCCGCAAGGCAAC